AAGTCAGATTGACCAAAACAGCAGCAAAAACAAAATAAAACCAACAAGTCACATTTCACAACTGCTTCCTCTAAATAGCTGTTTTGGCTTTGTTCTGTATTGTGTAGGTCACAGAATGAGCAATATAACATTTCTGTTTTGTTCTAAAAGCAAAGTAATCTGCTATGAAAAGATAAGAGAACAGATAAAAGTGCCCTCCGATCACTCTAGTAGTGAGCCCATGTGCACTTACAGACCACATCCCATGTGCAAATCTATTGCTCACCCTTATTTCCCAATGTCCAAATCTCACCTCTTCAACTTAATTCAAATTATCATTCAAGTATGCAAAATGTTGCTTTACATAAAAATGTGAAATGAAGTTCTCCTTGTGGACATCTCTTTGTGTTGCCGTGGCAACATTTTCAGTATCTATGCGTGTGTCATAGCATCCTGTTTTGTACAGGTTTTAAAATCCACTGAACGTTAAATTTGAGTGTGAGCCTTTAAATTTTCACAAATAAATTTGATGACACAAGGAAAATCATTTGCTCACCTAGAAGGTAACTCTTACATCAAGACAGACAGCATGTTCTGATTGTGGTCCCTCATTGAGTAGCCTTGGGAAATAAACAGAGGTCAAAGCCAACACAACTACAGCACCACCATGTTCTTACCCTGGTCTCCTTTGCATCTGCACCAAACACAGAGCCTGGGATTCTTGAGGTGGTGGTGGGAGCCATTGTTATCATTATTGGGCTAAGCTGAAGGACTGATGACTTATTAGAAATAGGGACACTGGGTTATCTTCCCTTTGCTCAGAAATGTGTTAATTTTTGGGCAATTATAAGCAGTTACATTGTCTTATTATGGACTTTCCTCACCTTAAAATGGATACATTACTGATATAGATTCCCATGTTTGTGTTTTTCAAATTTCATGTGCTAGACACCTGATCCTCGGCAAGAATATATCAAGAGTGGGGCCTTCAGGAGGGATTTAAGTCATGGAGTCACAACCCTCGTGGTGGGGTTTGTGCCCTTTCAATGGAACCACAAGTGGAGCTCTCCCACCCTGTGTGTATCCCATGTGACTATGACAGAGAGCCGTCTGCACCAGGGAGGGGCACATGAGAGCACACCACATTGAAATCCACACACAGCCTCTATCATGAGGAATGGTTGTGCTTAGCTGCCACCCAGTCTAGGGCACTCTGTCATAGCAACCTTAGCCACCCCAATCTCAGTTTTCTCAGCTATGCTAGAACGCAAGAGAACTAAGATATATCTCATCTGAACACAGTATTAGATCTGTAATGTCAGCACTCGAGATGCTGAGATGGAAGGCTTGTGATTGAAAGGATAGCTTGGGATATGGAGTGTGTGTGTGTGTTTTCTAGTCTTCACAACCCATCAAAAATACTATCTCTAAAAAATGAATTATTTTATCTTAATTTAAGGTAAAGGGCTTCAAAGGGTATTAAGAGCCCCTCCCAAATTATCAGGGGTACAAATTAAATGATATCTCATGTCAACAACAGCCTCTACATACATGTGCACACAGGTATATGTGCACCTGACCACACATACAATCATACACATACACCTACATATTACATACATGATGTAGGAGGGTCATCTGTCTATGTGTTACTTTCATTGGTTAATAATGAAACTGCCTTGACTTTTTGATAGGGCAGAATTCAGATAGATGGAGTAGACTGAACAGAATGCTAGGAAAAAGAAAGCAGAGTCAGGCAGACGCCATGATTCCCCTTCCCAAGATGGACGCTGGCTAGACTCATGCTGGTAAACCACAACTTCGTGGTGGCATACGGATTATTAGTTATGGGTTAGTCAAGATGTGAGAGTTAGCCAATAAGAGGCTAGAACTAATGGATCAGGCAGTGTTTAAATGAATACAGTTTCTGTGTGATTATTTCAGGTGTAAACTAGCCAGGGAGCCAGGATCCCAGCGGGAACGCAGCCCACCGCTCCCTTTACAACAGATTGGCGCTCAATGTGGGGCTTGAACCCACGACCCTGAGATTAAGAGTCTCATGCTCTACCGACTGAGCTAGCCGGGCAGCGGGAAGCAGCCCACTGATCCTTTTACAACACATAAACATGTATAAAATCAGTCAAATAAACTTAAAAGGAACATCACCACCATATGTAGCACAGAATCAGAGAAGGAGTGAGCTGTGTTAAATCAGACATCTAAAAGCTAAGCAGACATTTTATCTCAACCTCTTACCCTGCCAAAAAGACCACATTTTGTCTTTTGGAGGGCCTGTAAAGGTAACAGGAAGATGCTACTTCCCACTATAGGAATCCTTTGTGGTGCCTTAGCTGCTAAAACAGTGGAAGCTTCTAGTCAGGAAAAAAAACTAGGAGGCTGTGGAGGAGACCACTTAGGAGGGGCCAGCATGCAAGCCTCATGTAGGGCAGCTCAAGGAACCGCAGGCTGACCACTTGTTGCACAAAGAATGACCAGGGAGGGTGCCCTTCTTATCAGTGTAGCTTTGCTACAGAGCTTGCAGAGATAAAGATCCCTGCTTGTCCTTTGAGATACTTCCTCATAAGCTCTTCTATTAAGAGCTCATGCTACTAAAATATCTTGGAGTAACTCTAACCAAGCAAGTGGAAGACTTGTATGACAAGAACTTTAACTCTTTGAAGAAAGAAATTGAAGAAGACACCAGAAAGTGGAAAGATCTCCCATGCTCTTGGGCAGGAAGCATTAACATAGTAAAAATGTCAATCTTACCAAAAGCAATCTACAGATTTAATGCCATGCCCATCAAAATTCCAGCAAATTTTTTCCCAGACCTCGAAAGAACGGTATTCAACTTCATATGGAAAAGCAAAAAACCCAGGATAGCCAAAACAATCCTGTATGATAAAAGAACTTTTGGAGGCATCACAATTCCTGACTTCAGACTCTACTACAGAGCTACAGTACTGAAAACAGCCTGGTATTGGCATAAAAACAGACAGGAGGACCAATGGAACCAAATAGAAGACCCGGATATTAATCCACACTCCTTCAAACACCTGATTTTTTACAAAGAAGCAAAAAATATCAAATGGAAAAAAGAAAGTGTGTTTAACAAACAGTGCTGGCATAACTGGATATCATCATGTAGGAGAATGAAAATAGATTTACATCTATCACCATGCACAAAACTCAAGTCCAAATGGATCAACATAAAGCCAGCCACACTGAACATCATAGAAGAGAAAGTGAGAAGTACACTTGAACACATTGGCACAGGAGACTACTTCCTAAATATAACCCCAGCAGCACAGACACTGAGAGAAACAATAAGTGGGACCCCCTGAAACTGAAAAGCTTTTGTAAAGCAAAGGACATGATCAACAAGACAAAACGACAGCCTACTGAATGGGAAAAGATCTTCACTAACCCCACATCAGACAGAGGTCTGATCTCCAAAATATACAAAGAACTCAAAAAATGGTCATCAAAAGAACAAATAACCTAATAAAAAACTGAGTACAGACCTAAACAAAGAACTCTCAACAGAGGAATCTAAAATGACTGAAAGACACTTAAGAAAATGTTCAACATCCTTAGTCATCAGAGAAATGCAAATCAAAACAACTCTGAATGGCCAAGTTCAAAAATACTGATGACAACTTATGCTGGAGAGGTTGTGGGGTAAAGGGAACACTCCTGCATTGCTGGTGGGAATGCAAGCTGGTATAGCCCCTTTGGATGTCAGTGTGGCAATTTCTCAGAAAATTAGGGAACAACCTTCCTCAAGATGCAGTAATACCACCTTTGGATATATACCCAAAGGATGCGCAATCGTGACACAAGGACATGTGCTCAACTACGTTCATAGCAGCATTGTTCATCATAGCCAGAATATGGAAACAACCTAAATGTGGTACATTTACACAATGGAGTACAACACAGAAACTGATTTTCCTGAAGTGTTTGTGCTTTTGAAAAGACGAATGCTTGATTTCAGCCTTACTCTCCTTTCTTTCCCCATCTCTGTTCTTCTATGCCTCCCTCTTGTCATTTCCTTCGATTGACATGTAATAAAGTTCACCAAATTCAAGGATAATACTGGGTGAGTATTAACCAGTGTGTCTGATCTGACAGTCCCAATTCCCACTGGCTCTTGGCCCAATCATATCACACACTTCAGGCTCAACTCCCTGTATTATGATGGGCTCGACTTCTACCAAACAAAGGAAGCTCCATCCCAAAGTGGAATCCCAAGGGTGAAAAACTTGGCTTAATTGAACGAGAAATGCCTCTGGCAAAGAGGAAGTCGATCCTTCGCGATTGCCTACGACCCTAACCTCTCCCCTTCCTGCTCTCACTTGCTCCATCTCTATCATGTCTCAACCCTCCAAACCCCTTTTCATCTAGGTTCTTCTTCAAAAGCGGAAGACTGATTTCTATGGCACCCTTCTGCTGCCAGAGAGAGCAGCCAGCAAACATAGATTATCAATGGGCTTTTGCACAATGAAGTGAGGTATCTGCACTTCTAGGACAGACTGATTTCATATGCCCAAGGATTAGACTGCATACTGGAGCTAGATGCAGCCATGGTGGGGAGAGGAACTGGAATGGCCCAATTGCAAGGAGCAATTAAGAGACTGAAAAACAAAACAAAACAACAGGGCTGAGAACCATTGCAGTGGAAAAGAACATATGTGCTCAGTGCTAAACAAAACAATATGCAAACAGCACACACATCCTATGCTAACACTAAGTTTAAAGCATACTGATTCTTGTATTATGAGGTGGCTTACTGCTAAGATTGATTTGAGTCTCTGATTACATATAAACAGTCCTTCCAATACCCTGATAAGTAGCAAGTCATTATGGTATTGTGTAAAGGTGGGAATGGGGGGGGGCGACTCTTTCTGATTATAGAAGTTGCTATGAAAGTATGTAATTTGCAGAGAGCTCATCTTGGGTTCCCCACACTGGAGAGTGAAGGGAAAATCCAATTGTCTTTGTGACTGTCACTTCTCCAGGGGCTTCTTACGCTGACCACACGTTCCCAGCGGAGAGGATGGATGATGCCGTGGCTCCTGGGGAAGAGTACACCTACCAGTGGGTCATCAGTGAGGACAGTGGGCCCACACCCGATGACCCGCCTTGCCTCACCCACATCTACTACTCCTATGAAAACCTGACCCAGGACTTCAACTCAGGGCTGATTGGACCTCTACTTATCTGTAAGAAAGGTAAGAGCAGTAACACCAGATTCAACCACAGCAGAGACCCTGGAGTACCTGGGAGATTGTACTGGGGTAAGGCTTGGAGAACCTTGGGACCTTCTTGTAGGTGATGCAAGAGAATGCAGTGGAGACCAGATCATGAATGAGGAAAAATGTCACCTGGTACCAACTTTTCCTGTTTCTTCTAAAACCTCCCCTCATCTTAGTTATGGCAATTTCATTCAAGTCTATTCTGACACTGTGTCTGCATGTTTGCCTGACCAGTCATCTTTACTTCAAAGTCAAGTCTATTTATTTTAAAGTGTATAGCACCCTACTCACTGAGAGAGTTCCGGGAAAGGACACTGGCTGGTACAACTGAGGTAGCTGAGGTTTCTTTTGGTGATTTGGTTTATAAACATGTATACTCCAACTCTCCTTCTTTGTTGTTGTTTGGTTGAGGATGGGTTGGTTGGTTGGTTGGTTGGCTGATTGATCTTTTATCGTTTTTAGTAGACAGGGCCTTGAACTCATAACGATATTTCTCCCTTAGGCTCCCATGTGGTAGGATTGCAGGTGTGAACCACCATTCCCAGCTCAGTTTGCTTTCTTATAAACAAGCTGAACACTTTAGGTGTCGGCCACAGACTTTGTGAGTGTCAACTTTTGCTGACCTATGTAGATCTGTGTCTTTGAGACCTGGGATTTGAGGACCTTAAGGAGTGGGCAGTCTACAGTCTAACGCTGGAGACAGTTTCCCATCAGTTTCAGTGTGCTTTTATAATACTCAAGGGAATCGAAGAAAGCAATGATCCAAGGAAGGTTGTTGGAGTTCAGAAAAACATGAGCAGTAAAACATGTAAATCAACTCCAGCAAACACATACTAAATATTGACAGAGCAGCCCTTTCCCAGAACTTTCCCACGACTGCCCAGTTTAAACACGATTGCCTGGCACGTACCATCGATGATATCTGGGAAAGAACAAAAGTAAGGCAGAGGGCCATATCCAGGTTCAGGCGCACGGAGGACAGACTCGGTATATTCCCATATCCAGGTTCAGGCACACGGAGGACAGACTCGGTATATTCCCATATCCAGGTTCAGGCGCACGGAGGACAGCACTCTGTATATTCTTTCATCAGATTGGGTTCTGACATCCAGCAAGAATAAACGTGTCGTATAAACCAAATGTAAATGTTTAACAGGAGTACAGAATACGTCCAAGAACAATGCAGGGAACAAATTACCTGAGATAAAGGCCCTCTGCCTTCCTTCCCGGAGCCTCTCTCAGTTCCCCAAGGCGTTGTTCATCATGGGTCATTGTTGCAACCACCATGCTCAGACAGTGAGGCATTCCATTAGCAATGTTCTTAGAATTACCTTGACTTTCTCTTCTCTTACTCTGAGCGACTTCAACCCACCTTCATTGAAACCATCAAAGAGTCACAATGAACTGTACCAGGGGATAATGCCATTAATACCTATACACAAGCCATATACCCAGCTACTTATTCATCAATACAAACATATTTTTAAATTTCCTGGCATATAAAAGATACTGCAATTGCATTGAAAGAATGTACTCTTATAAAAGGCATTTTCATTTTATCACCATTTTTACTCATATAAGGATGGGTTTATCTTTATACAAACATTTCTCTAGTTCAGTGCCCCATTTATCTGCAAATGAGGAAGCTGTATTCAATACAGGGCCTTGGGTTGTACCATTTGAGCTGAGGCATGCGTTCTGGTCTGGAAGACTAGAAGAAATGTGTGGTTTTTTATTGTTGATGGTAAGTAATCATTTTGAGCCATTTTTCCACAACAATTGTTCATTTATTTATGTAAATATTTGTTTTTTTTACTTTTTTATTGATTATTTTGGATTTTGCATCACACATCCTGATTTCATTCATCTTTCCATCCCTTTGCATCTACCCTCTGCCACTGCAACCTCCCCCGACCCAAACAAAACAAAATATTTTTTTTTAAAAAAAAGAAAGGAAGGAAGACAAAAAGAAAGAAAGGAAGAAAGAAAGAAAGAAAGAAAGAAAGATCTTGTGGAAACTGCAGTGTGCCACAGTGAATCGCGTAGCGTACCCTTTACCCCATACATCTTTACTTTCAGGTGTTCACTTCAAAGAGTTGTTGGTCTGGTTCAAGGCCTCTGGCTGCTGCTGGGCCCTCCTGGACATCCTCTTGGAACCTTTCTGGACTGCTCTTGTGTTGACTGAGTTTTCTGTCCTGCCCAGTTCCCGCCATCCTTAAGTCCCAAGAAATCACACAGAGGTCTACATTAACTGTAAACTGATTGGCCCATTAGCTCAGGCTTCTTATTAATTCTCATAACTTATATTAGCCCATTATTTTTTGTCTATGTTAGCCACATGGTTCAGTACCATTTTCTGCGAGGCAGTCACGTCTTGCTTCTTTTGTTGTAGGGTCACAATTGTGAACCAAGCTTTCTTCTTCCCAGAATTCTCCTGTTCTTGTCGACCCACCTCTACTTCCTGTCTGGTTCTCCTGCCTATACTTCTTGTCTGGCTACTGGTAAATCAGCATTTATTTAAAATATAATTGACAGAATACAGACCATTGTCCCGCATCATTCTTGGACATCCTGCTGTTGCCCTATGTTTTGAAGATCCTGCAGCTTTGGATCTGCAGGACTGGCCCCCTCACATGCTTTAGCAGATCACTGATGGCGTGGATGTTGGGATGGACCAACTTATATCCCTGGTTTGGGGCCTGGGTGGTAGCTGGGTTGGTCAGCCCACCAGCTCTCCCTTATCCTCGTCACTAGTGCAAGCTCTCCATAACCTCCCTGGATAGCTCACCCTTTGCAGCAGGCAGTCAGGAGGGGATCTAGTTCTCCTGCTCTTACACCCTTAGGGTCAACTGGCCCGCATCTATACCACCAGGGCCAGCTCTACTGTGTTGCCCAAGTGAGGTGCAGGGGTCACTCCCCCCAAGTGCTGCAGCTAGTGGGGGGCAGAACCAGTTCTTTCACTCTCATGACCTCAGGAACAGCTCTCCCACCCACCGCAGGGAACAAGGGGCAAGGGAGGGAAGGTTTTGGCTTTTGGTGGTAGACTTCACTAAATAGTTCAAAATTTATTTGAACTCCCTATATAGCCCAGGTTGGCCTCAAACTCATGATCCTCCTGCCTCAACTTCCTGAGTACTAAGATTTTAGGAACAGATCATAGGACCTGGCTGGGAATGTATGTTTCAAATTTATATCAACACTACTTGGTTCTGGCCCCAAGTTCAGATGTGTGGGAACACTGAAGGTACTCTTCAATCTGGAATGCGATAGAGGCATGTCTCTTCTCTCTCAGACACACTAACTGAGGATGGGACTCAGAAGATGTTTGACAAGCAACATGTGCTGCTGTTTGCTGTGTTTGACGAAAGCAAGAGCTGGAGCCAGTCGCCATCCCTAATGTACACAGTCAATGGCTTTGTGAACAGGACGATGCCAGGTAACACAGGGGCCGCACACTATTCAGCGATGACAGTGTCACCGGTATCTTGGGCCCACTGGTTCTGTAAGGTAGCTTACCACATACACTGGTTTCCAATGCCTAGGAGCAAATTATTACAATCTTGTGCAATGATTCAGTGACTCTCAGGACCTTTACCATCATCATCGTGTGTGTGTGTGTGTGTGTCCTATCCAGGAAATACAACAGATAAATCAGAAGGCAACAAGGAACTTGTTAGGTGTTGCATCTGAGTATATCATTTCTACTCAAGTACAGAGTCACTCTCTAATAGGAATGCTCAACAGAAAGAATGAAATAAAAGGGCTGGAGAGATGGCTCAGTGGTCAAGATCACTGGCTGCTCTTTCAGAGGTCCTGAGTTCAATTCCCAGCAATCACATGGTGGCTCACAACCATCTGCGATGGTATTGATGCCCTCTTTTGGTGTGCATGAAGACAGAGCGTTCATGTACATAAACTACATAAATAAGTAAATCTTAAGGAAATAAATAAATATACGTTTAGTAAAGATAAACAGGACTATGCTCTACCATACAAATATTTTATTAGTTGTTCAAAAGTCTATTGATAAACAATATGCAATGGCATATAGAAAGTTTTCTCTCCCCATCTACAGATAAAGAGTTTTGCAAAGAGGTAAAATCATAGCAACTATAAAGTGGAGGGAAAACTGACTTCCACTGTACTAATCAGTTTTCTATTGCTGTGATAAAATGCTGAATACTGGCTACTATATAAAAAAAGTTGTTTAAAAAAGAATTAAGTTTCAAAAGCAGAAAACTCAAGACTGGCAGGCTCATCAACTCAGCCTTTGGTGAGGGACCACTTGTCTGTGTCATAGTAGGGCAAAGAAGCAAAAGGGAAGTGGCTACATGTGGAAGAGGCCAAGACCAGGATGGCCTTGCTTTATAATAACTCACTCGCGTGAGAATTAGCCAAAGTTCCAGGAGAACTACATTAATCTCCTCCAAGGACAATCTCTCCAGTGACCTAACCGCTTGCCTCTACGCTCTATGTTTATAAGGTTCTACCACTTGAAATCCACTACACAAAGCCAACCAAGCTTCTGGTGTCGCAGCCTTTTAGGAGACATGCTGTAACCATAGCAACCACCAATACCACTTCCACTTCTTCTAGGTCTTTCTAGTAAAACTGACTTAGAATGAAATATTCAGGAGATGTGTGTGTGTGTGTGTGTGTGTGTGTGTGTGTGTGTGTGTGTGTGATGTAGTGATAACAACTCAGGGAAAAAACCTAGATTTGCTCTTTCTTTGCTTACATGGTGACTGGGGAATTGTTCATTTGCTCTGTGGGAGAGCCTAACCTTGGCTTTTATCCTGGATTTACATTCAAATTTCAAATTTGCAATCACAAGATATAAGATAACTGGCTACAAATTGGTCCCCTATGATATTTACATACATACATACATAAGTAAATACACATATGTCCCATAGCATATGTGTATATATTATATTTATGATCAGTTTAGGAAAAATGAAAGTATTTCCCTATTAAAAAATTCCAGGAGCCGCTGTGATGACTCAGTGAGTAAGGGTGCTTTTCTCCAGGCCTGATGACCTGGGTTCGGTCCCTCGGATCCACATGGTGGAAAGAGAGAACCAGCTTACACAGGCTGTCCTCTGACCTCATTGTGAATCACGTGATTCATGCACATCCCCAAAACCAATCGTTAAACAATTGTAAGCAAAAATAAAAGTTCTAAATGTCATTATGTATCAATATCACAAACGACTTCTTTTACAGAGAAATCATCGTTGTCAAGAGTTGAGGTCTGGTTTGTTTTCCATTTTTATTCTGTTTCATTTGGCACCATCTTCTTCCTGGCTCATTCAGCACTGGATAATGATTCTGAGTTCCAAAATTAGGTTCTTCCAAAGCTGAGACTGAACTAAGTGACCTCTCCCTTGGAAGATCTGAATTGGCACCTCATTCATCTCCCTGCCTTTGTGCTGTCCTTACCAACTAGTAGGCTCAATATGCTGTTTCCAGAAGTGGAATTAACAATCCCATTATCTGTGTCTTGACAGGAAGAATAATCCGTGTAAATATATAAAAGCCAAAATGGCCGACTGCGCGTGTAAATAAAACAGAAACAACTTGATCAGGACAAAAAAATTGTAGTTGAAAAAGAAGGGGATAAATGTGCCCACAGAAACACACATACCTTCTAGCTACCTCCCAGCTTCCTGTTCACAGTGTTCACCAAGGACAAATGCCTCCATGGATGAGAAACCAGTTCCCAGCCCACCCTCTTATATCTAGTGGTCATGGATCTGGGTAGGAGCCAAGACTGGACTCTTTCCCAGAGCAAATGAGCATTTTCTCCATCACTGTGGCAACACAGAAAGCAAAGCTGAGCTTTCCCCCTGGTTTTTTCTCCTTCAGTTGTGATCAATCTGTCCATGAAAAGCTCTCAGCATCCAGTTTCAGCAAGGGCACCAGTAACACAGAAAGTAAACCATTGTCATTAAAACAATTCAAAAGTGGGTGAAGACACCATAGAACATCCTTTGCACATCTTCACACTTCTTTCTACTTTGACTGACCTTGACTTCAACCTGCAAGAGAGGATTAGGGTCCTGACACTCTGGCCAGATTGATGTGACCAGTACTTTACTGATTCATACACTGAGAACCCTATATCTTGAACGACCTCTCAGTCCTGGACCAACCGGGAGGGTTTGTCACATATTCAGCTGCCCCCTAACTTTAGTCCTTTAGCTGTTCTTGCAGTTCCGGGGGAAAGGCCCTCTTTCTAAGCTCTATCCCCTCTTTGGGGGTACTACTTGCTGCTTGAGTTGTGACTCTTTGTTTGCGTGCCACTATGCATTCGGATGTTGTCTCTCCCTCTCAGACGTAACAGTCTGCGCCCACGACCACGTCAGCTGGCATCTGATTGGAATGAGCTCAGGACCAGAGCTGTTCTCTATCCACTTCAATGGTCAAGTCCTGGAGCAGAACCAGCACAAGGTGTCCACCATCACGCTGGTCAGTGCTACGTCAACAACCGCGAACATGACCATGAGCCCAGAAGGAAAGTGGATCGTTTCTTCCCTCATCCCAAAGCATTATCAAGGCAAGACACCTTTCTGATCATCTTGTGTTGGGTGCAGCTCCGTTTGTTCCCCTTTACCCTTTTAGCCAACCCCACCTAGACTCAAGCATCCTGGTTCCCAATGGCACCATTACACCCCCTTGCTCTTAGACTCATGACCCAGGGGTTGGAGGTGAAGGAAGTGAAGGCATTGAAAAAACCTTTAAAATAGAGGTCTCTATTTCCGTGAAAGAAGAAGAAAACTGATGCTTCTCTAGATACTTCTCTTGGGTGTCTTTCACATGTAGCCAAGGGAAGGAGCTCAGAGACTAGACAGAACAAGGTGAACATCCACAAATTTATAGAAGTATAGAATTACGAAGATTGACAAGGCCACACATGAGAATATGGTCCCGTACAATGAAAGGAGCTCAAAAGCCAGGCACCAAAAAGAACTCAATGTGAGTTGAGTGTACCATAGATTACATGCTGTGTGTTTGTTTTACTGAGAAAGGGGCTTACACTGCAGTAACTCACCCAATGTTCTAAGCTGGCCTTGAACTCATGGCAGCCCTCCTATCTCAGCCTCCCCAGTGCTGGGATTATAGGCATGAGCCACTATGCTGCTAGCAATGGACTTCAGAGAGCAGCAGTTAACTCTCCTGAACCAGCAGGAGTCGTGTGGTGCCGTGTAAATGAAACAGTTAGCTGTCATGTCACACAGTTTTGCCTTTAAACTGTTGAAACACTCATGTTGATAGAGTTGAAGATCTAAGCACATTCCATTACTTTAGGAAACTGTTACCAACAGGTGTGTAGGCACTTGAGGAATAAATATTGTATGAGATCCCTTTGTTTTCATCCTGAGCAATGGAAATTATGTTAAGGTGATGATATTGATAAACTGTCACTGTGGTATAGTTCTTAATAGGAATAAAGCAAAGCTACATCTAAAATTAAGAACAAGTGGTATTATGAATTAACAATCACATTAAGTATACACCATTGTGTTCTTCATTTATCAAAGGGACAAATAACAAGAAAAGATAATTTTTTTTGTTTTGTTTATTGAGACAGGATTTCTCTTTGTAGGAGCCTGTCCTGAAACTTGCACTGTAGACCGGCTGACCTCGAATTCACAGAGATTGCCTGCCACTGCCTTCTTAGTGCTGGGATTAAAGGTGTACACCACCACTGCTCAATGACAAAATTTTTATATTTAGTAGAGAGAGAGAGAGAGGGAGAGAGAGAGAGAGAGAGAGAGAGAGAGAGAGAGAGAGCTATGTTAAGCATCAAACCCAGGGGCACCTACATGTTAAGCCCACACTTGATCATAGTGCTATATCCCAGTCATAGTCCCAGGGTTTTAAGTTTGCTCCTCCATCAGGGAAGCTTTCCAACTTCTTCCTCTAGCCCTTGCCTCTCATCCTGCTCTCTACTCTTGCGTCCTCTGTGGCCCATTATAAGAGTGTCTGAGCATTGCTTTACTGTTATTATTTGTATCCCATGAATTGTTTTTTTTAATACACATTTTGATGAATTTTTTTCTCTTAAATTCTACTGCTGACTTTCTATCTTAATCCAGCTGGGATGCAAGCTTACGTTGACATTAAAAACTGCCCAAAGAAAACCAGGAGTCCCAAGACGCTCACTCGAGAGCAGAGGCGACACATGAAGAGGTGGGAGTACTTCATTGCTGCAGAGGAAGTCATTTGGAACTATGCACCTGTAATACCTACAACTATGGACAAGTGAGTCGGGGTCAGACCACCATGCAAAGATGAGAGGCGTGCTCCTCGGGCGGGTCCTTAGGCTAAAACGTGGCCAACTCTCAAGGGACTTACATATTGGTTTCCACCTAGACATTCTTATCCTTATCAACATTTAATTGCCCCTAAATCACCATAGGAATGTGGCCCGGTGATGATAATAAGAACAACAGCAACTAGAATTTTCTGAATGTTTGCTACTGCTTGTAGTGGATGTTGGCTAAGGGCTTCACATCAGTTCTACAAGTTCAGGGCTACTCTTCTGTTCTCATACCTGAGAGAAGAAGCCAGAAAATAATAAGGAAAATTGGAAATTCTAGTAGCTCTTCATATGCCAGTCCTAATAAGAAAGGTTAAAGTGGAATTTCACTGGATTGTTGCTCTGTATCTATCAGATTGCCAGGCTCACATTACACCATCTGTTGCCAAGGCTATGGGAAACAGAGCCTATCACACATTCTGGTAGCCCAGGGTGCTTCTAAAGACATTCTGTAGGATAATTTGACAAAATATGTTAGAATTGTAAGCATATACACCCTTTCCCAGCATCACCCTGCTCCTGGAATTTAACTGCACAAAAGGATTACTATTCGCGAGTGGAGGGCTGTGGGAATAAGGTGCATACTGCCACACTATTAATAGTAATAAAAATTAGAATCAATTCCAAAAGTCCATCAGTTGGAAAAGAGAATCAAGTTACAGCACATTCATGCAATGGAATACTGTGAATCAAAAAGAAAGCGAGAGAGGAAAAAAGAAAGAAAAAAAGAAAGAGAAGAAGGAAAGAGAGAGAAAGAGGGAGAAAGGAAGAAATAGAAAGAAAGAAGGAAAGAGAGAAAGAAACAAAGAGAGACAGAGAGAGAGACACAGAGAGAGAGAGAGACAGAGACAGAGACAGAGAGACAGAAGAAAGAAGAAAAAAAAAGGAAGGTACAGACATTTTCTGTCCAGATCTCACCAGGTACCTATGACCTATTCAGTACTGGAGCAGGTGACTCTTAATTGCTAGTTTTTGGCTGTGTGAAGGACATCAGGATGTTGTAGATTACTCTGAGACTATTCCAAGAAGTAGCATTTTAGCCAACCCCAAAGCAGAACTTGCATGCGCAAGGGTTTCCCACTGTTGCACTGGACTCTCTACTTGAAGTAGTTTGACTTTTCTTTTATTATTTCATTTCACTTTAAGGAAATACAGGTCTTTGCACTTGGATAATTTCTCAAATCAAATTGGAAAACAGTATAAGAAAGTTATTTACCGGCAATATGAGGACGAGACCTTCTCCAAACGCATGGAGAGTTCCGGTACCAAACAAAGTGGGATTCTGGGCCCTATTATTAGAGCCCAGGTCAGGGACACACTCAAGGTAAGCAAAGAGATATGGAGGCTGGGAAGAACTGAACTGAAAAGACAGCTCAGGGATTGGCAGTTTTCAATATTTTTAAATGTATTCATATAATTTTAAATTTAAACACAGCTTTTAGTTTTACTTAGTATTTCATGCATTTATAGCCTTAATAATACAAGGATCTTGACAGATAAACCAGAAGCGAATAAAGCAGAGTCACAAGTAGGTGCAATGAAACAATCCCAAGGTTGTCTGCAATGTTTGTTCAAACTTGAGCAGCAAAGTAAAAAGGAAATACGTCTGAGAAAGGTGTACATGCCTGTGAACACTGCACCATTTGCCTGAGGTAGAGAGCCAGGAGTAATTTCTTGTGTCCTTGACAAAATCCCACAACTGTCGCAAAACAGAAGGGGTGGGCAGCTTTTGAAAATAACATTGTTCGTTATCAGTGTGAACATCCGAGTCAGGAGAGTGGAGAGAAAATGACTTCAGGACAGTCTAAGCATGTGGCTCTAATGGTTGGTCTCTAGTCCAGCAGCATTTATATCACCTGGGGCCTGTGATGGAGAGAATCAACTCCCACAGGTTATCTTCTGACCTCATATGCACACTGTAACATACATGCCTTTAAACATACATACACACACAGAGACACACGCACGCACACACATGTACACACACAGTGCACGTATGTACACGCACATACTAAATGTAATAATAATATGCTTGAACATTGTATTACATCATAGAGCTAGGTAAAGACCCAAGTAACAGACAACTGAAGGTTGCATCTTCGGCAAGACCCTAGGATGTAGATAATCTGCATATCAAGGTTGATTTAAAGGCTTTGTCTGAAAACCAAGTAGAAGATAAAACTAAGGTTATCTATTGAAGATTAATAGGCAAATTAGGACTTCTGTGAAAATCATGCCCGAGAGAAAGCCCATTTTGTTCATTTGAAAGTAATCAGATGTCAGAGCCTTCTTTCCCCTCTTTCCTTCCTTCCCTCATTTTTGGCTCCACTAAGATGCCTTAGGTTTCAGGATAAGCAGATGCTGTCTGGAACTCAGGGTCTGGCTCTTGGGGCCCTCCAGGAAGATACCTTCATTGAGAGTGATCTCAGGGAGCAAGACAAGCAGAGGCAGCACGGTTTCGCGGAGGAAAGGAATAGATGAGGTCCGATCTGAAAGAATAAGGGAAGGGTGATGGGATCATCTGGGAGAGGAGGATGTGCTATAAGGGAAATGTAACTTCTCCTAAGCTGTTCCCCAGGGACAAAGTTCAATTTCTCATCTTTATTTGGGAGTAAGACTCCCCCAGAGACTCCTTCTTGCCTGGTAATGGTGGCGGGGCGGGGGATGGTTGCACGGATGAACAGAACTGATTCCCGCATTTCTAGGTAATGGGGGGGGAGGGAGGCTGGACTGCTGCACAGATAAACAGAACTGATTTCCCCAGTGCTTGAGCACACATCTGTGGGTGCACATCCGCATGTCACGTGCACACCTGCCCACGCATGCACACACAGAGGTAAGTGTGCAAAGCTGCCATCTTTTGACCTAATAGTTCTCAAGAGTTACCTTCGATGCTGAAATAATTGATATGACTTAACTTTGTAGATTGTGTTCAAAAACATGGCCAGCCGACCCTATAGCATTTACCCTCATGGGGTGACATTCTCGCCTTACGAAGATGGAGTCAACTCTTCCTCCACCTCAGGTGGGAACCTTTCACTTCTACTGAAAGAGACTAATGACCGCTGAGAAACTTCCATGGTTTCCTCTTGTCCTATTTGCTCGGTGGTTATGACAAGTGCAGTCAGTAACACTCACGGAGGGGGAAATCTCTAAAAATCCCAGCAAACCCTTCTCCCTTTAATGGTTACAAATGCAACGCCTTTCTGAGTGTCTTTGGCGGCATCTAGTGGAGAAATATTGAACAGCTAATAAAGGATAATCTGTAGTCAAGCGTTTTAGACAAACAGAATTATAACTCCTGATAGTAGTTAACTCCTGATAGTAGTTACTCTAAATAAAAGCGAAGGGAGATATTTATTACAATAAAATAATTTCTTAGAAAATTAACAGTGTATATTTTCTTTCAGGCAGTCACACCATGATCAGACCAGTTCAACCAGGGGAAATCTACACTTACAAATGGAACATTCTAGAGTTTGACGAACCCACAGAAAACGACGCCCAGTGCCTAACAAGGCCTTACTACAGTGATGTGGACGTTACCAGGGACATCGCCTCTGGGCTAATAGGCCTGCTTCTAATCTGTAAGAGCAGGTCCCTGGATCAGAGAGGCATACAGGTATTTTAACCTTCGAGTAAACCTTGAAATAGGAATTTCTCCTGACTGGAGTAGGTTAGGTCTCCCTGCTGGACACTAGGGTTTTTCCTTCTAAAGTGCACTTAGACAGTAGTCTTCGTTAGCAACAGTGTGACAATATTTTCATCAGGGGTCATCTTTTATGTTGTTGCTCTTTCTGTTTTCATTTGGATTCTCACTGCAGAGCACAGCCTGGGTGTGATGCTGGATATTTTTTTAAGTTTCTTTTTTTTAATTGATTTTTATTGAGCTCTACATTTTTCTCTGATACCCTCCCTGCCTCTCCCCGCAAGGTCCCAATGCTCCCAATTTACTCAGGAGATCTTGTCTTTTTCTACTTCCCATGTAGGTTAATCTATGTAAGTCTCTCTTAGTGTCCTCTTTGTTGTCTAAGTTCTCTGGGATTGTGGTTTGTAGGCTGGTTTTCTTTGCTTTATGTTTAAGAACCACCTATGAGTGAGTGCATGTGATAATTGTCTTTCTGGGTGTGGGTTACCTCACTCAAAAGAATGTTTTCTAGCTCCATCCATTTTCCTGCAAAATTCAAGATGACGTTATTTTTTTCTGTGGTGTAAATGTACCACATTTTCCTTGTCCATTATTCGGTCAAGGGACATATAGGTTGTTTCCAGGGTCTGGCTATGACAAACAATGCTGCTATGAACATAGTTGAGCACATGTCCTTGTGGCACAATTGAGCATTCTTTGGATATATGCCCAAAAGTGGCATTACTGGGTCTTGAGGAGGGTCTTTTCCTAATTTTCTGAGAAATCGTCACATTGACATCCAAAGGGGTTATACCAGCTTGCATTCCCATCAGCAATGCAGAAGTGTTCCCTTTCCCCCACAACCTCTTCAGCATAAGTTGTCATCAGTGTTTTTGATCTTGGACATTCTTACAGGTGTAAGATGGAATCTCAGAGTTGTTTTGATTTGCATTTCTCTGATGACTAAGGATGTTGAACATTTTCTTAAGTGTCTTTCAGTCATTTTAGATTCCTCTGTTGAGAGTTCTTTGTTTAGGTCTGTACTCCATTTCTTTTATTGGATTATGTGATCTTTTGGTGTCCAATTTCTTGAGTTCTTTGTATATTTTGGAGATCAGTCCTCTGTCTGATGTGGGGTTAGTGAAGATCATTTCCCATTCTGTAGGCTGTCGTTTTGTCTTGTTGACCGTGTCCTTTGCTTTACAGAAGCTTTTCCGTTTCAGTAAGTCCCATTTATTAATTGTTTCTCTCAGTGTCTGTGTTCCCTGTGCCAATGCATTCAAGTGTACTTCCCACTTTCTTTTCTATAAGATTCAGTGTGGCTGGCTTTATGCTGAGGTCTTTGATCCATTGGGACTTGAGTTTTGTGCTTGGTGATAGATGTGGGTCTATTTTCATTCTTCTACATGTTGATATCCAGTTATGCCAGCACCATTTGTTAACTATGCTTTCTTTTTTCCATTTGATATTTTTTGCTTCTTTGTCAAAAATCAGGTGTTTGAAGGAGTGTGGATTGATATCCAGGTCTACTGTTCAGTTCCATTTGTCCTCCTGTCTATTCTTATGCCAATACCAGGCTGTCTTCAGTACTGTAGCTCTGTAGTAGACTTTGAAGTCAGGGATCGTGATGCCTCCAGAAGTTCTTTTGTTGTACAGGCTATTATTTTTTTTTTTTGCTTTGTCATGTGAAGTTGAGCATTGTTCTTTCAAGATCTTTGAAGAATTTTGCTGGAATTTTAATGGGCATTGCATTGAATCTGTAGATTGCTTTTGGTAAGATTACCATTTTTACTATGTTAATGCTTCCTGCCCAAGAGCATGGGAGATCTTTCCACTTTCTGGTGTCTTCTTCAATTTCTTTCTTCAAAGATTTAAGTTCTTGTCATACAAATCTTCCACTTGTTTGGTTAGAGTTACTCCAAGATATTTTATGCTATTTGTGGCTATTGTGAAGGGTGTTGATTCTCTGATTTCTTCCTCATCCCTTTTATCATCTGTGTACAGGAGGGCTACTGATTTTTTTTGAGTTAATCTTGTATCCTGCTACATTACTGAAATTATTTATGAGTTGTAGAAGTACCTTGGCAGAATTTTTGGGATTGGTTATGCAATCTATCATATCATCAGCAAACAGTTAGAGTTTGGCTTCTATTTTAATTTGTATCCCCTTGATCTCCTTTTTGTGTCTTATTGCTCTACCTAGGACCTTAAGAACTATATTGAATAGATATGGAGATAGTGGACAACCTTGTTTTGCTCCTGATTTCAGTGGAATTGCTGGGAGTTTCTCTCCATTTAGTTTGACGTTGGCTGTTGGCTTGATGTATTTTGCCTTTATTATGTTTAGGTATGTTCCTTGTATCCCTGCTGTCTCCAAGACCTTTATCATGAAGAGATGTTGTATTTTGTCAAAAGCTTTTTTGGCATCGAATGAGATGATCATGTGGTTTTTATTTTTCAGCTTGTTTATATGGTGGATTACGTTGACAGATTTTTGTATGTTGAACCATCCCTGCATCTCTGTGATGAAGCCGACTTGATCATGGTGGATGATGGTTCTGAAGTGTTCTTGGATTCAATTTGCCAGTATTTTATTTAGTATTTTTACATCAATGTTCATGAGTGAAATTGGTCTGTAATTCTCTTTCTTAGTAATGTGGTTTGAGTATCAGGGTAATTGTAACCTCATAAAAATGGTTTGGCAACATTCTTTCTGTTTCTTTTGTATGGAATAATTTGAGGAGTATTGGTATTAGTTCTTCTTTAAAAGTCTTGTAGTATTCTGAGTTGAAACCATCTGATTCCTGACTTTTTTGGTTGGGAGACTTTTGATGACTGTTTCTATTTCTTCAACAGTTATAGGTCTGTTTAATTTGCTTATCTGGTCTTGATTTAATTTTGGTGATATTTATCTAGAAAGTTGTCCATTTCCTTTAAGTTTTCCAATTTTGTGGAGTATAGGTTTTTGAAATATGACCTGATGATTCTCTCTGTATTTCCTCCATGTTTGTTGTTATGGCCCCCTTTTCATTTCTGATTTTGTTAATTTGGATATTCTCTCTCTGCCTTTTGGTTAGTTTGGATAATGGTTTGTTTATTTTGTTGATTTTCTTGAAGAACCAACTCTTTGTCTCATTGATTCTTTGAATTGTTTTCTTTGTTTCTATTTTGTTGATTTCAGCTCTCAATTTGATTATTTCCTGCCATCTATTTCTCTTAGGTGAGTTTGCTTCTTTTTGTCCTGAAGTTTTCAAATGTTCGTTAATTCACTAGTGTGGGATCTTTCCAGCTTATGTAGGTGTTTAGTGCTATGAACTTTCATCTTAACACTGCTTTCATTGTGTCTCATAAATTTGGGTATGTTGTGTGGTCATTTTCAATGAATTTTAGGAAGTCTTTGATTTCTCCCTTTATTTCTTCCTTGACCCATTCATGATTCAGGTGAGCATTGTTTAATTTCCATGTGTTTGTGGGCTTTATAGAATTAGTATTGCTGTTGACTTCTAGTTTTAAACCATGGTGATCAGATAGGTACATTGGGTTATGCCATTTTTTTTATATTTGTTGAGGTTTGTTTTGTTACTGAGTATGTGGTCAGTTTTTGAGAAGGTTCCTGAGGTGCTGAGAAGAAGGTATATTCTTTTCTGTCTGGATGGAATATTCTATAGATGTCTGTTAAGTCTATTTGAGTTATAACATCTGTTAGTTCTCTTATTTCTCTGTTCATTTTTTGTCTTACTGACATGTCCAGTGGTGAGAGGGGAGTGAAGTCTCCTACTATTAGTGTGTGGGGTTTAATGCATGATTTAAGCTTTGCAAGTGTTTCCTTTACATCTGAGGGTACCCTTCTATTCGGGGCATAGATGTTCAGTATTGAGATTTCCTCTTGATGGATTTTTCCTGTGACTAATATGAAGTGTCTTTCTTTGTCTCTTTTGACTGGTTTTAGCTTGAAGTCTATTTTGCTATATATTAGGATAGCTACACCACTTGTTTCTTAGGTCCATTTGATTGGTATATTTTTCCCAACCCTTTGCTCCGAGATGATGTCTGTCTTTGAGGTTGAGATATGTTTCTTGTATGCAGAAGAAGGATGGATCCTGTTTTCATATCCAATCTGTTAGCTTGTACCTTTTTATAGGTGAGTTGAGTCCATTTACATTAAGGGATATTAATGACCAGTGATTGCCATCTCCTGTTAATTTAGTTACCATTGTTGGTGATGTTAATTTGTGCATTTTTCCCTTCTTTGGGATTTGCTGCTATGAGACCATCAGTTGCCTGTGTTTTTGTTGGTGTAGCCAACTTCCTTGGGTTGGAGTTTTCCTTGTAGTATTTTGTGTAGGACTGGATTTGTGGCTAGGTATTGGTGAAATCTAGATTTGTCATGGAATATCTTGTTTTGTCTTTCTATGGTGATTGACAGTTTTGCTCAGTATAGTAGTCTGGGCTGGCATCCATGGTCTTTTAATGTCTGCATAATGCTTGACTTCTGGCTTTCATTGTGTCCAATGAAAAGTCAGGTGTAATTCTGAAATTCTGATAGGTCGGCCTTTATATGTTTCTTGGCCTTTTTCCTTTTCAGCTGTTAATATTCTTTCTTTATTCTGTGTGATTAGTGTTTTGATTATTATATGGCAAGAGGACTTATTTTTTGATCCAGTCTATTTGATGTTCTACAGGCATCTTGTATCTCCATGGGCATATCTTTCTTTAGGTTGGGAAAGTTTTCTTCTATGAATTTGTTAAGTATATTTTCTGTGCTTTTGAGTTGAATTTCTTTTCCTTCTTCTATACCTATTATTCTTAGATTTGGCTTTTTCATGGTGTCCCATATTTCTTGTATATTTTGGGTTAAGCATTTGTTAGAGTTACTGATGAGTCTATTTCCTCTATTGTATCTTCAGCACTTGAGATTCTCTCTTCCATCTCTTGTATTCTGTTGTTCATGCTTGTGTTTGTGGTTCCTGATTGTTTTCTCATGATTTCTGTTTCTATAATTCCCTCAGCCTGTGTTTTCTTTATTGTCTCTATTTCAGTTTTCAAGTCCTGAATAGTTTCTTTCATATGTTTGATTTCTTTTTCTTGACTTTCTTTAAGTGATTTGCTGGTGTCTTCCAATTTTTGTTTGTCTTTTCCTCCATTTCTTTAAGGGAATTTCTCATTTCCTCTTTTAGAGTTTCAAACATTCCTTGAAGTTATTTTTTAGGTCATTTTCTTCTGCTTCATTCATATTTGATTGTTCAGGTTTTGCTGTTGTAGGGTCTTAAGGTTTTACTGGTGTTGTGTTACTCTTGTGGTGTTGTGTGTGTTCTTACCTTTTCTACTCATCTTTTTCTCTAATAGGTGTGGTTGGGGCTGTCTGAGATTCTGTTAAATAACCTTCTAGGTTTTAATGAATCCAAAGCTCAGATGGTTGTTCTTCATGGTACAGTCAGTGCCACAGTTCTAGTTACCCCATTGATTACTCCGTGTTCCTGGAAATAGCTCAGTGCTCCTGTTCTTTGCTCTGCTCCCTTGGAGTTTGCTGTTTCAGATCTACTTTGGCCTAGGCTTCTGGCTTTGCCATGTTTCTGTAAATCCTGGTCTGGATATTCTCCTGCAGAAGTCCCTGGCTTGGAGCTGGTCCTGCAAAGATTTCTGACTCCATTCTGCTGCTTCAGATGTTCCAGGTTTGAGTGCACCTGGAACTGCAGAGGATCTGACTCAGGCTTACTCCCTCAGAGGTCCCAGACTCAGGCTCAGTCCCTCAGAGGTTCCAGGTTCCTTCCTATTCCTTTTGATGTCTCAGACCAGTGCCCAGACCCACAGAGGTCTTGGACCCACAGAGATCCTGACTCAGGCCTACTCCCTCTGAGGTCCCAGACTCACACCTGGCCCCACAGAGATCTCTGGTTTCTGCTTATTCCATCGGAGGTCCCAGGTTTACTCGCGCCCAGACCCCAGAGGTCTTGGCTTAGGTCTACTCCCTTGAAGGTCTCAGATTCATGTCTGGACCCTCAGTGGTCTCTAGCTCTGGCTCACTCACTCAGCAGTTACTCCCCCTCTACCTGTTCCGATGGAGATCACTGACTCTGCATCTGGTCACTGGCTCAATCCTGATCCGCCATTGACCCAGGACTGAGTTGACTCCTGGGACTGGATTTTGCTCCTGGTTTCTGCTCTTGGTGGAGCTTGCTCGTGATGCTGGATTTTAACCAAGTTTCAAACTCTAGGCCTGTCAGTGTTGCCCGTGTGATGAAGAAGCCAGTTAAGCTCTTTTAATTCTTCTCTCTGATCAAATAAATAAGAACACCCTCACCCCAGAAATGTGTTTACAGGGTGGCATAGGAGTGCAGTGAAAACTCGGTGCCAGTCTTTGTTGTTTTTAGAGGGAGGTAACAGAGACAGGAGAGAGCCCTTAGAACAAGGACATTTGGAGCTATAGTTTTGTTTGTTTGTTTGGGTTGTTGTTGTTTTGCTTTGCTTTGATTTTGAGACAGGGTTTCTCTGTGTAGCCCTGGCTGTACTGGAACTGGCTGTATAGACCATGGTGGCCTCAAACTTGCAAAGATCCACTTGCCTCTGCTTCCCTAGTGCTAGGATTAAAGGCATGCACCATCAAAGCCCAGCTGGAGCCATAGTTTTGGTGAAATTGGAGTCTGTTAAAAGTTTTTCTTTGGTGAGACTAAGTTACAGCAAAGAATGTGACCAAAAAGACTAGATTTCTCAGTTTGTTTTTTTTTGAGACATGTTTTTATGTGGCCCAACTTGGCCTCAAACTCACTATATGGGCTAGGGTGGCCTTGAACATTTAAAAATTGTCTTTTCTTTCTTTTTATTTTTAAATTTTAGTTTTTATTTTATTTTTGTTTTTAGTGTATGAGTGTTTTGCTTGCATGCATGTCTTCATACAGTGTGTATCCCTGGTGCCCACAGAGGCCAAAAGAAGGAGTTAAATCCCCTGTAGTTACAGATGGTTGTAGGGTGCCATGTGAATGATGGGAATTAAACCCAGGTCTTCAGCCAGCACTCTTTTTTTTTTTTTTTTTTTTTTCGAGACAGGGTTTCTCCGTAGCTTTTGGTTCCTGTCCTGGAACTAGCTCTTGTAGACCAGGCTGGCCTCGAACTCACAGAGATCTGGCTGCCTCTGCCTCCCGAGTGCTGGGATTAAAGGCGTGCGCCACCACCGCCCGGCCTCAGCCAGCACTCTTAATTGCTGAACAATCTCTCCAGCCTGCCCCGTTTGTTGGTATGTTGTTGTTTGTTTTTGTTTTGAGAGAGGTTTCTCTTGTAGTTCAGGCAGGCCTCAAACTGATTGTGTAACCAGAATAATTTTGAACTTCCATGCCTCTGGGACTGGAGACATATGCTGCCACACCAGGCATATGTGGTACTTGGGAGAACCCAGGGCTTTCTGCATGCTAAACAAACACTTTACCAACAGAACTATATCCCCAGCATCCTGAGTTTCTCTTCATTGCAAATGAATAGTCTTATATTATTCACCTAAAATTCCCATTAGGTTAAATAATAGTGAAAGGGGTCTTATTCAAAGGCATGCAAAATAGGCAGATGCCTAGAAAAATCAGAACCCTTGCAAGATCTTGATTTATTGATATCGTAAAGGACACGGGAAGGAAGGGCATGAGGCTTCCCTGTTGCAACCTTCTGCTCCTCCTTTACATCATCTGGAGCAAACTCAGTCTTTCGTGCTGAAAAGTGCCCCACTACAGACACACACTGGCTTGCAGGTGCCGGACGGAGGTAGCATTTTCCCCCTAGGAACTTTTGACTGAGTTCTCTGATCCCCTCCAGTTTGCTTTCACATATTAGCTATATCTCTGACAAGTGTTTGGTATATCATGGGCTCTCATAGGTGCCTGAAATGTGGCTTCTCTGGACTCAAAGCAATGGGGAAGTAGGAGCCAACTGGAGCTTTAATCCCTGCTCTTTCACCTCCAGAAAGCAGCAGACATTGAGCAGCAGGCTGTGTTTGCTGTGTTTGATGAGAACAAGAGCTGGTACATCGAGGACAACATCAACAAGTTTTGTGAAAATCCTGAAGAGGTGAAACGTGACGACCCCAAGTTTTATGAATCAAATATCATGAGCAGTAAGTCGGAGCCTCCGCTTCTATCTGTCTTTTTTACTCTAGTGGTTGCAGCATGTCTTTACCCAAAGGCAAACATGTGATGGCTTTATCCTCTCCCAAAAGCAACCCCTCCTCTCCTCACTCAGGGTCTGAAGACTTGGTAATGGGATGCCTGACAACACAGCAACCAAAGCTTTTTTTCTTTTAAGACAAGGTTCAAAGTCTAGTGATCCTTTAAGTCAGAGCGGCCTCGTGCTTCCAAATTTTGTGTGGGATTTGTTTGTTTGTTTGTTTGTTTTCTGAGACAGGGTTTCTCTGTAGCTTTGGAGCCTGTCCTGGAACTAGCTCTTGTAGACCAGGCTGGTCTCAAACTCACAGAGATCCGCCTGCCTCTGCCTCCCGGGTGCTGGGATTAAAGGTGTGTGCCACGTTTGTGTGGTGTGTATGTGTGTGTGGTGATGTATGTGTGTGTGGTGTGGTATGTGTGTATATTTGTGTGTGTATGTGTGGTGTATGTTTGTGTGTCTGTGTATGTATTGTGGTATGTGTTTGTGTGTTGTGTATGAGTGTTTGTACGGTATGGTTTGTATGTATGTATGTGGTTGTGGTGTGTGTATGTGTGGTATGTGTATGTGATGTGTGGTATGTGTGTTTGTGTGGTGTACATGTGTGTCTGTGGTGTATGTATGTGTGTACAGTATGTGTATGTGTATGGCATGGTGTGTGTATGTATGTATTGTGGTGTGTGTTTGTGTGTGCATGTATGTGTGGTATGTGTTTGTGTGGTGTGGTATGTATGTATGTGTGTGTGGTACATGTGTATGTGTAGTATGTGAATGTGATGTGGTGTGTGTGTGTTGAAGTGTGCATGCACTAGGCAACGATGAAGGCTGGGAGGAAAGGCACGAGGACCTTGGTCAGTGGTACCTAAGGATTTTAGAAATGTGCATGGCAAAGACCCTCTAGTTGATGCCAGGACAGAGATAAGATGTCTTTTAGAGAAAGCTGCATTCTCCAGTCAGAGGCAAGCAAGGTGAGCCTGGGAGCCCAGTGTCGTGAGAAGGCGGTGGATGCAGAAGTCTGAAGAGAAAGTATGTGGAGAGGAATTCAGAGCAGAGGGAAAGTTCCCTGAGCTTGGTATTTGCTATGATTCCAAAGTCCATTGTCATGAGAAGTCTGAGATGAGTTTACTGTGGCATCTGCAAGCAATTTCCTTCCAACAACCAGAGTCTCCTACACATACATACACACACACACACGCACTCATGCACACAAACCCATGCACACACACCCATGAACACACACATGCACGCATGCACACACACACACACCATTCCTCAAAATAAAAAGCCGCCTCCATCACCTTTTCTGATGAATAACCACCTCTCTGAAGGTGGCTTCCCAGAGACTGTTCATGTCGTTTCAGGACTGACAGGTGCCACATTAAGCTGACTTCACATAATTTCCTTCCAGTAAGGGCTCTGTGATAGCTCTAGACCTACAGCTAAGGGTCTATGATAGCTCTAGACCTACAGCTCGGGTCTGTGATGGCTCTAGACCTACAGCTCAGGGTCGATGATAGCCCTAGACCTACAGCTCGGGTCTGTGATAGTTCTAGACCTACAGCTCAGGGTCTGTGATAGCTCTAGACCTACAGCTCAGGGTCTGTGATAGCTCTAGACCTACAGCTCAGGGTCTGTGATAGCTCTAGACCTACAGCTCGGGTCTATGATAGTTCTAGACCTACAGCTCAGGGTCTGTGATAGCCCTAGACCTACAGCTCAGGGTCTGTGATAGCTCTAGACCTACAGCTCAGGGTCTGTGATAGCTCTAGACCTACAGCTCAGGGTCTGTTATAGTTCTAGACCTACAGCTCAGGGTCTGTGATAGCCCTAGACCTACAGCTCAGGGTCTGTGATAGCTCTAGACCTACAGCTCAGGGTCTGTTATAGTTCTAGACCTACAGCTCAGGGTCTGTGATAGCCCTAGACCTACAGCTCAGGGTCTGTGATAGCTCTAGACCTACAGCTCGGGTCTGTGATAGTTCTAGACCTACAGCTCAGGGTCTGTGATAGCTCTAAACCTATAGCTCAGGGTCTGTGATAGCTCTAGACCTACAGCTCAGGGTCTGTGATAGTTCTAGACCTACAGCTCGGGTCTGTGATAGCTCTAGACCTATAGCTCAGGGTCTGTGATAGCTCTAGACCTACAGCTCAGGGTCTGTGATAGTTCTAGACTTACAGCTCAGGTCTGTGATAGCTCTAGACCTACAGCTCAGGGTCTGTGATAGTTCTAGACTTACAGCTCGGGTCTGTGATAGCTCTAGACCTATAGCTCAGGGTCTGTGATAGCTCTAGACCTATAGCTCAGGGTCTGTGATAGCTCTAAGCCTATAGCTCAGGGTCTGTGAAAGCTCTAGACCTATAGCTCAGGGTCTGTGAAAGCTCTAGACCTATAGCTCAGGGTCTCTGATAGCCCTAGAATTACAGCTCGGGTCTGTGATAGTTCTAGACCTACAGCTCAGGGTCTGTGATAGCTCTAGACCTACAGCTCGGGTCTGTTATAGTTCTAGATCTACAGCTCAGGGTCTGTGATAGCCCTAGACCTACAGCTCAGGGTTTGTGATAGCTCTAGACCTACAGCTCGGGTCTGTGATAGTTCTAGACCTACAGCTCAGGGTCTGTGATAGCTCTAAACCTATAGCTCAGGGTCTGTGATAGCTCTAGACCTACAGCTCAGGGTCTGTGATAGTTCTAGACCTACAGCTCGGGTCTGTGATAGCTCTAGACCTATAGCTCAGGGTCTGTGATAGCTCTAGACCTACAGCTCGGGGTCTGTGATAGTTCTAGACTTACAGCTCGGGTCTGTGATAGCTCTAGACCTACAGCTCAGGGTCTGTGATAGTTCTAGACCTACAGCTCAGGGTCTGTGATAGCTCTAAACCTATAGCTCAGGGTCTGTGATAGCTCTAGACCTACAGCTCAGGGTCTGTGATAGTTCTAGACCTACAGCTCGGGTCTGTGATAGCTCTAGACCTATAGCTCAGGGTCTGTGATAGCTCTAGACCTACAGCTCAGGGTCTGTGATAGTTCTAGACTTACAGCTCGGGTCTGTGATAGCTCTAGACCTACAGCTCGGGTCTGTGATAGTTCTAGACCTACAGCTCAGGGTCTGTGATAGCTCTAAACCTATAGCTCAGGGTCTGTGATAGCTCTAGACCTACAGCTCAGGGTCTGTGATAGTTCTAGACCTACAGCTCGGGTCTGTGATAGCTCTAGACCTATAGCTCAGGGTCTGTGATAGCTCTAGACCTACAGCTCAGGGTCTATGATAGTTCTAGACTTACAGCTCGGGTCTGTGATAGCTCTAGACCTATAGCTCAGGGTCTGTAATAGCTCTAGACCTACAGCTCGGGTCTGTGATAGCTCTAGACCTATAGCTCAGGGTCTGTGATAGCTCTAGACCTACAGCTCAGGGTCTATGATAGTTCTAGACTTACAGCTCGGGTCTGTGATAGCTCTAGACCTATAGCTCAGGGTCTGTAATAGCCCTAGACCTATAGCTCAGGGTCTGTGATAGCTCTAAACCTATAGCTCAGGGTCTGTGAAAGCTCTAGACCTATAGCTCAGGGTCTGTGAAAGCTCTACACCTATAGCTCAGGGTCTCTGATAGTCCTAGACCTATAGCTCAGGGTCTGTGAAAGCTCTAGAGCTATAGCTGGGGTCTCTGATAGTCCTAGACCTATAGCTCAGGGTCTGTGATAGCCCTAGACCTATAGCTCAGGGTCTGTGATAGCCCTAAACCTACAGCTCGGGTCTGTGATAGCTCTAGACCTACAGCTCAGGTTCTGTGAAAGCTCTAAACCTATAGCTCTAGACCAGTGCTGCCCAAAAATTGCAGGTGAGTCATTTACATGAAATTTCCTGGTAAGTTGAAAAGTAAAGAGAAATGAGTGAAATTCATTAGAATAATCTTTACTTAGCTCAGCATATTCCAGATACTATCTTTTTTTGTTGTTTTGAGATAGGCTTTCATGATGTAAAGATATATAATTTTTAAAGTAATACAAATAAATGGGATGTGCTTCATGACTGTCTTTGCAGTACAGTGTGTATTTGATCTTAAAGTACATGTCAATGGAATATACCTGCTCACCGCCTCTTGCAGCCAGTGCCCATAGTATTGGCCCATTTAGAAAAGCATCTGCAATGATGTAGAAACTAATAACACACACTTTCAGCAACTCAACATATATTTGGTACATAGTCACTTATATTTGTTTTTTTTTTTTTTTTTTTTTTTTTTTTTAGTACCAAACACCACACGTACTAGGAGTGTGGTCACAGTGGTGACCTGGGTGTACTGGTTGTGCCCTCCAATAAATCATATCTTAATTGGATTACCATGTGCAGTACATATGTAAATAAAGATGTTGCCCAAAGTGGTGTTCCTTTAAAGATAATTAAAATAAATGAACTCAGTGCTTGAATGGAAACTATTAGACTAGCCGTCGGTCAACCTTAGGTTACAGATAACAGTTCTCAACAACAAATGTGCTCAGTAAGCTCCTTGTTTTGTGACATTCATTCTTACAAGAATGATGCCCAAGAAGATAGAGTTCTTCTATATAGACTTGTTTTCCCAGTAGGCTCATCTTGGACAATCTAAATCCAGTACAGCAGAGCATAAAGTAACATTTTATAGTTGCTTGATGGATGCATACTTAACCGATGTGCATGAGAGGCTTTATCTTTATCCTGATTTCCCCTCTCAACTAAGTCAGGAGCATCAGCCATGTCTTGGGAAGCTGACTGTGACCTGCTCACACATTAGCCCTCAAAGCTTACCTTCACTAACCGCTGCCTTAATGCAGCCAAATGAGTATAGAGGTATTTGTCTGGGCTGTGATTATGGGTCCTCGTGTTGTACAGGCCTGGCATTTGACAGATTTTACTCTTTCAGCTCTCAACGGCTATGTGCCTGAGAGCATATCCACTCTAGGATTCTGCTTTGATGACACCGTCCAGTGGCACTTCTGCAGTGTGGGAATTTATGATGACATTTTGACCGTCCACTTCACCGGGCACTCATTCATCTACGGGAAGAAGCACGAGGACACACTGACCCTGTTCCCTATGAGCGGTGAATCTGTGACCGTCACGATGGACAATGTTGGTGAGTAAGAGTCTAGGTATTTAGAGGGAAAACTGATCAGCTCTCAGGTGGAGAAAGGTCTACTGAGCTATCCCAATGACCACAGCTCCTGGTGTGTCTCCAGGACCGTTGTGGGCTTGCCTTACCCTGCTGCTCATGGTTTATAGTTGGGAAAATAATAGCTTAAGTAGAAGCAGTTTCATGCCAATTCCATTTGCACATCTCTGAAATAACCAGGCAGCAAAGACATACAATGGCAGAAAGACAGATGTAACCCTGAAGAAGCAGCAGAAAGGGATTAGCCACGAAAGCAGCCTTTGGTGTCAGTCCTCAAGCGTCGTTGACCTTTTTATGAAACAGTGGCATGGAATTTGCCAAATAGGCCATTGTAACTGTCCAGTGGACCCCAAGGACCCACCTATATCCACTTCCCCAGAGATGGAATTACAAACTCGGGCTACTAGCCCTGACTTTTTTTTTTTTTTACGTGGATGCTGGGAATCAAACTCAGGTCCTTGTGCTAACTGAACTGTCTCCCAGCCCCACTTTTCAATTTCTTATCAGAGACCACCGCACCTTCAGGTGAGCAACCATTAGATGAGCCCTGGAGGCTGCCTCAGAGACAACATTGTTGTGTAAGACCCAAGTTCAAATCCTGCTCAATGTTTTGCAACTTTAGATGTGTTACTGGCCCTCACTAAGCCTGAAGTCTCCCTCAGAAGAGCTTGAGAGCGCTGTCCAGAGTTGTTTCAGCTCCTAGATGTAAGCTCCTCCAAGTGCCCAGCACTCAACAAGTGGTTGCGTTGGTCCTGTCCCAGGCCATCCTTAGTGTCTCAGTAACTCACTTTCAAAATGACACATACGTTATTTCCTAGAAATACCTAAATACCCTTTCTTTGTGGGAAAACAACCTCACCATCATCTCTCAAATTCCAAGCCTCAGACAAAATGTACAAGTAAGCAGACGGTAATGACTTTTGAGGTCCATTTTATCACTGATTTCCCCTTTTCTTGGTGTATTCTAAAGCAACAATTCTTGAACAATCCAAACTGAAAGTCCCTTTTTCTTCTTAATCTCCATAGACCAATAGTTTAAAGCTAATTTCTGTTAAATACCCTAGCCTAAAAGTACAATAACCCTGTGGATAGATACCAAAGCAATGTCAAGCTACATTTTAAAAAATTCCTAAACACCCTATTCTTGGTTTTTCTCTCTATGTCAATGTAGTTCTGTAACTCACCATTTATAGTCTAGCATGGTCCATAGCTCACACATGGGCCCTATGGTTAAAATTCACTAGAAATTGTTTCCCCCAGCAGATTCTGGTGTTTTTATAACTTTTCCTGAGCTTTCAACCTTCCCTTCTCTGTCTCTCCTATAAAGGAACGTGGATGTTAACTACCATGAATTCCAATCCAAGACACAAAAACCTAAGACTGAGATTTAGGGATGTTAAATGTATCCGGAATGATGATGATGAAGACTCGTATGAGATTTATGAACCTTTTGTACCTACACCTGATTCCACGACAACTCGGAAAATTCATGACTCTTTAGAAAACGAGTTTTCCATTGAGAGTGAAGATGAGGATTACCAGTATCTATTGGCTTCGTCACTAGGAATTAGATCATTCAGAAACTCATCATGGAATCAGGAGGAAGATGAGTTCAATCTTACTGCTCTCGCTCTAGAGAACAGCTCGGAGTCTGTATTTCCCAGCATAGACAAAGTAAATGACTCGAAATCTTCTCCAGGAAACCTTAGTGGGATTGTCAGTAACAACCTCAAAGAATCTCAACAAACCCTTCCTGGCTCAGGAGCCACCATGACTGGTACGCTCCCAGAGGACCTCACTGGCTTGGGTGAGAACTCGGTTCTCAACTCTCCCACAGAACACCATTCCAGCTCGTATTATGAACATGATGTGGAAGATTCACAATCAGACATCACAGTGGTTCACCTACTTCCCCTTGGTGCAAAAGGATCAGGGAGCCAAGGACACGCTAAGCATAACAAAGCCAAGCTAGGAAGAGCCCACCTGATGAAGTATAGGTTCCCCCAGATGAAAGTACCAGCCCAAAAAACTAGGAGGCATTCAAACCCAAAGAATACTAATGCCAGAGTGAGGTCCAGCGAGGAAATTCCTACTGATTTGTTCCTCTTAAAACAAACAAACACATCCAATTTTTTGGATAGGGCATGGTATTTGGCTTCTGAAAAAAGTAGTTATGAAATAATACCAGCAAATGGTGAAGACACGGCTGTTGATAAGCTGCAGAATGGCCCTCAGAATCAGAACATCTCAGGGGCTTGGGACAATAGCACCTCCACTACAAAAACAACAGGAAAGCCACGTGACCTCCCAATGTTTTCTGGAATTAGACGTAAATCTCCACAAGTAAGACAGGAGAAAGGGAACAGAAACTTTAATAACGGACAGTTCATCAAGACACGAAAGAAGAAGAAGGATAAGAAGATGGCAATCCACAGTCTTCTATCTCCAAGAGGCTTTCACCCACTAAGAGGAGATGCCCAAACCACATTTTTAGACCAAAGACTTAATCACTCGCTGTCACCCCACAAGTCTAATGAAACAGCTCTTCCCATAGACCTGAATCAGACCTCCCCTTCGACGAGTGTTGACAGGTCACTTTCTCACCATCATCAGGGCCCCCCACATGGCTCGAGACAGATGAGCTCTGCTTTAGATGTGTATCCGTCATTGCCCCCAGAGGAACAGTCTCCAATATTTCCTACCCAGGATCCTGACCAAACACACTCTACCACAGACCTGAGTCACAGATCCTCTCCTCCAGAGCCCAGCCAGGGGCTTGATTATGACCTAAGCCATGAATCCTACCCTGAAGACATTGGTCAAACATCTTTCTTTCCAGACCAAAGTCAAAAGTCTCTGTCTTCAGAAGATGGCAAAGCAAGTCCCTCCTCAGACCCAAGCCTCTTTACCATCTCTCCAGAATTAGATCAGACAATTATTTCTCCAGACCTAGGCCAGATGACCCTTTCTCCAGATGACAACCAGAAGACCTTCTCCCCAGACCTCGGTCAGGTGCCCCTTTCTCCAGATGACAACCAAAAGACCTTTTCCCCAGACCTGGGTCAGGTGCCCCTTTATCCTGATGACTACCAGATGCCCTCCTCCCCAGACCTGGGCCAGGTGCCCTTTTCTCCAGATGACAACCAGAAAGCCTTCCCCCACGATCTTAGCCTCTTGCCTCTCCCTCCAGAATTTGATGAGCCAGTCCTTTCCCAGGATTTGGACCAGATGCCCCAGTCTTCAGGCCTCAGTCAGATGACCCTCTCCCCAGACCTCAGCCTCTTGACCCTCTCTCCAGATTTTGATGAGATCATCCTATCCCCAGACCTCAGTCAAGTGACCCTCTCTCCAGACCTCATCCAGACAAGCCCCCCTCTTAACCACAGGCACGAAACAGCCTCTGAGGATCCTGGCCGAGCATCCGACCCTTCAGAATCTGGTCAGTTTTTACCTCTTCCAGAACTGAACCAGACTCTTCTCCATCCAGATGTCATTCACACACCATCTCCTTCACCATCGCCCCAACTCAATAACACTTCCAAGTCAACGGAACGGAATCCTCTTGTTGTAGTAGGTCTCAGCAGAGTCGATGGAGATGATGTTGAAATCATGTCAAATGAGGAGCTAGAAAGCATTGATGATGATTATACTGAAGATTATTATGTAAACTATAATGATCCCTACAAAACAGATACCAGGACAGATACCAACTCCTCCAGAAATCCGGATACCATTGCAGCATGGTACCTCCGTGGCCATCGTGGAAACAAGCAATACTATTTTATTGCTGCTGAAGAAATATCCTGGGATTATTCAAAATTTTCTCAAAGGTTTGGCTAGTTTTTTCTCTTCATATTCTCATTTTTCCTACCACTGCCATGAAAATCACCGACAGCAGTTCCTGGGAGGTGATTTTGGACAAACTGTGCTTTCTATTGTCTAAGTGTCCTATGTCAACTGGGCCTGTGATATTTCCTTTGTCATTTCCAATATTAGTGCCCTCTACACTTTAGATGACACTCAGGCAAAGAAGAACCAGTACTGAGGAAGTCTATGGTATGCTGTGGTTAAATCAGTCTCCCCTGCTTTCTCATATCCACTTACCACACATGCTCCTGTCCCCTTTCCTTGTCCTAACACACACCTATCCCTCTGCATAGCTATCTGCTGACCAAAACAGCTCAAGTGAGGTTGGCTTCCAATCCAGACTTTAATGTAGAAATCTCTGTTTGCATCTACTTGTTAACAACAGTTTCTAAGAGATCCACTTACTCTTTTATTTTTAATATTCTTTCCAATTAAGTGTCACTGAGGGATGGAAAGCCACCCTGTTCTGGGATGAAAACAGAAGAAGGGGGCAAGAATCATTAGTCAACCGCAGATTCGTCGGGATAGATCTGGTGACTGTACGCAATAAGCAGCTTGTAGTGGTTAATCAAGGCTGCCACACTCATATCGTAAAGGTGTGATTATAGTACGCGAACACGGTGTGCATTGAGACTGATCCACCTCGGACTGTTCATACAGCGGCTAGCATTTGCTTTAGAATGCTTCTTTAAGATGCTGTCCCCTGTGGTTTCTTACTTAAATGCAGTGCCCATCACTACATGGGAATAAACTAGTTATCTGAATATTTCTAAGATGAGCCTTGGGGAGACAGGGTCTTTACACAGAGTAGAAAGAGTGGAAGCCAGTTCCTCGAAACTCTTGCCTCTCAGGCCTGAAGCTGGCTCTTACAGCTGGCAGAGTTGTCTTGCCTGCTCATGTGTTCCGTGTGTGGCTAGATGGGGCCAGCAGGAAAGAAAGACAGGAGGGAAGGCAGAATAAGTTTCTCCGTTGATGGCTTTGGAGATATTATAGCTATTAGGTGTTTGAAGGATGAGTTTGGGGCTTATTTTCATCGACTTGAGAGAATTGAATCTGTAAGAGAATTTGATGTCTTTTGGCCTCTCGCTTAGTTGGTAAGATCTGTGGGAACTAAAGTGTTGGATTTATATTTTTATTAAGCTTTTTATTTTGAGATGATTGTGGAATCACATACTCTTGTGAGAAATTACACAATATTCCTTATTGGTAGTCTCTTAGAAAAGTATACTATACTACAAAAAAGTGTATGGAGGTTGCTGCTGTCGTGAGAGAGAACATTGCCATCTACACACACACACACACACACACACACAAACACGCGCGCGCGCACCTCATACCACCCATCTACCTCCCTCCCACCGTACTTCACCTTAGCCTTGCGGTCACTAGTCAGATCTCTATATCTGCCATTTTGTCATTTCATAACCACTGTGTCATGCAACATGTGATCTTAGGGGATTGGCTTTTTTTTTTAACCACTAAACAAAATTCTCCAGAGATACATCCTCATTATTAAACAATCTAACCATTCCTTCTATTGCTCTGTAGGATTTCACATGACATTCACAAGTTTTGTTGTTGTTTTGCTGTTGATGCATATTGATGCTGCCAAATATGAGGGGTTTCAATACCTGTGGATGTATCCCAAGCTAATGAACACATGCACCATACACTTATTTTCTGTTAGAGAACTCTTAGAGCTTACTCTCGCCAGTTGTCAAGGCTGTACTACACAATGACTGATTATAGTTGCTATGCTGTATAGTAGGTCTCCTGAAGGTACATTTGCTCTCTGAACGAAATTTTGTATCTTTTAACCAACACCTTCTCAGTCCGCTTCCCTCAAAGTCCCTGGTAACCACTCTGCTTCCGTGAGTTTTTGTCTTTCTGTGCTTGGCTCTTTTCATTTAGTAACATGACAATTTTTTCTTCTTTATAGAGGCTATCTTGTGTTCCTGTGTGTGTGTGTGTGTGTGTGTGTGTGTGTGTGTAATTTTCTTTATTCATTCATTCATTAATAGACTCTTAGGTTGATTATACATTTGGCTGTTATAAATAATCCTGTAATAATGCAGCTGTTTCTTTAATGTACAAATTTCACATTCAATTCTGTGGCCAAAAATGAGATTTCCAGCCAGGCATGGTGAGACATTTTAATCCCTGCACTTGGGAGGCAGAAGCGGGCAGATCTCTGGGAGGTCAAGACCAGCCTGGATTATAATGTAGTAACTGCTAGGCTAGCTAGTGCCACACAGTGAAACCCCATCTCAAAGAAAGGGCAAGAGAGAGAAATGAGACTGCAATGTATGTTGGAACTCTATTGTTGATTTTTTGAGCAACCTCTGTCCAATTTTTAATAATGTGTTATCATTTAGATTTACTTTTTTTTATTTTAAAGGCTTCTTTTTCTCCATGTGCTTGTTAACACTTATCTCCTGTTCCTATAATCACCATTTTAACCGATTAAAAGTGATATCCTTGGAATTTTTATTTTCATTTTTGATCGTTAACAGTAGCATTTTATGTACTTGTTGGGAATTTCTAAGTCTTCTTTTGATAATATATCAAAAATTTAAATATATTATATATAAAAATTTATGTTACCATATTATTTTGTTTACTAATTAATTATTAATAATAATGTATATTGCATTCTTTGCCTACTGTTAATCAATATTTTTGCTAGTAATTTAGTTCCTCATATGTTTAGATATTGATTCCTTATCAGATACATAGGCATGTATCTAATACAATATGTGTTCTCCAATCACATAAGCTGTTTCTTAATTCTCTTGACTGTTTCCTTTGCAACATGTCACTTTAGTCTGATATTGCATGAATGGAATTCCATCTGTCTGTTTGTGTTTTGTTACCTGATTTTGAGAGTCTTATCATGAAAATCTTTGCTCAGACCAGTGTCTAAAAGCTTATAAATAATATGCTTTAGCAAAATCAAAGCCAAGAACAGCTACTCAGGGTAAAAGACATGCATCTATCTGATCCCTTTCATGAGGGTGGCCTTCTAACTCAACTGACCATCATCTGAAAGTCCCAGCTCTGGTACTTACCCATTGAATGATGTTGTCTGTCTTTGGTTTTAAAATATCTGTTATTTTATCATTATATTTGTTTATTAAGTTATGTGCTTGACAAAAACATATTAAGTGCCTACTGTATGCCAAATAACATGCTAAGAATTGGAGAATGCAGCTGGGCAATGGTGGCGCATGCCTTTAATCCCAGCACTTGAGAGGCAGAGGCAGGCAGATCTCTGTGAGTTTGAGGCCAGCCTGGTCTACAAGAGTGAGTTCCAGGTCAGGCTTCAAAACTACAGAAAAACACTGCCTTGAAAAAGAAACAAGAAAGGAAAGGAAGGAAGGAAGGGAAAAACGAAAAGAAAAAACAGAATTAGAGAACATATCATGAGCAGGCTGAGCAGAATACTTGGCCTCATAAGACCTGCTCCTTAGTGGCAGACCGAGATATTAATAGATCTCTCAGGTCTCACATAATTTGTTATACATCCTGTAGAAATACTATAGGACAAGCTGGGCGGTGGTGGCACACGCCTATAATCCCAGCACTCGGGAGGCAGAGACAGGAGGATCTCTGTGAGTTTGAGGTCAGCCTGGTTTACAATAGCTAGTTCCAGAGAAAGCTACAGAGAAACCCTGTCTCAAAAAACAAAAACAAACAAACCAAAAAGAAATACTATAGGACTATTATAGAAATCTACTGTGTAGACTATAATAATACCATACATATATTTATTATACTGATATATTAATATACTAAATAAATAAATGAAATTATACTGGACCTACTCCAAGAGATTTTAGGAAGTATTACCTAAGAAGTTATATTTGAGCTGGAAACTAAAACATAATGTAGTCACCTGTGTTTTCATTTATATATATTCATTAACTTATACATGAAGTGGTTATTAAATATTCTATGCTAGTTACCAAACAGATTATTTCCTAATTCCTTTCAATTGTTTATTTTTATTTTATGTGTAGGTATGAGTGCCTGAATGTATGTATGAACTGTGTTGTGTGCCTGGCATCCTCAAAGGCCAGAATATCCCCTAGAACTGGGGTTACAAGTGGTTGTGAGTTGCCCACAGTGGGTGCTGGGAACCAAACGTAGGTCCTCTGCAAGAGCAACCAGAGCTCCTAACTGCTGAGCCATCTCTCCCAGATTTCCCCAACAGTCCTTAATTTCTTTTTTTTTTTAATGAATGCTATTGCTATCACTTCAGTGAAATGGACAGTGAAGACTCTGATGCTATCCCAAGAGACACCACATACAAGAAAGTTGTTTTCAGAAAATACCTGGACAGTACTTTCACCAGACGTGATCCTCGGGCGGAATATGAGGAGCATCTTGGGATTCTGGGTCCTGTTATCAGAGCTGAAGTGGATGACGTGATCCAAGTAAGCCATCCTCGAGCCCTCTGAGTCTCCAGGGATTCACCACAAGCACCAAAGCTGATTTGTTTCTCAGAACTGACAAATAACTGCCATTCCCCACCCCCAGAGTCTGCTTGACTATTTGGCAATTTTTGAGATTAAAAAAGACCTTAGACGTTTTAACCCTGAAAGTTGTTTAATCTGGAAGAGGCAGCACTGGCATTTCTAGCTGAAGCCAGGCTGTGTTGAGCTAACGTAGAAAATGACTCAGCTGTGTTCCACGGCAGAAGCGGTGACAGCAACCGTAGTAATTTATAAATATATCCCAGCGTTTTCTTAAGAGGCAATATGAGACCAAATGAAAGGAAACTGGAAAATGAAGATGTCTCTCTGCCCTTAAAGAGTAAGCCAGTTTCTTGAGCATTTTACCAGCCTTAGTCATTGATTGCTTTTAAAACCCTGTATCCACTTCCCAGACAACAACTTGCGTTTATAACAGAGTTTATCTCCCCATCCTTCCTAAACTCTCATATATCAAACAAAAACAAAACAGTAACAACAATAAGCAGACAAAACACAAGAAAAACTGCTCCGCATCTATGTCCAGAAACATAACCTTTGACCTGTGAGGGTATCTGCCAATTTGTCAATGACCATTTGTTCCTTTTCAAAAGACACACGGGGGTGGGGAGATGGCTCCATGGGTGAAGAGTAACCACTTAGTCTGTGATCTGCAAGATCCTGGCCTTGAACTCCGACACAACCAAACCAATTAATCAGTCATGAAAGGCAATGAAGTCTGTGTTGGTCGGCTCTCTGTTGCTCTGATAACGGAGGAAACACTTCTTTTAGCCCTTTCATCAATGGTTGCTTGACTCCCCTGCTTTGGGTGTCTTGCATTAAATCAAGTAATATGCAAAAATTCATTTGCAGTTATAAGCGCCCAGTACACTTTAGCTCTGATATCATGACTGCCAGTGACAGCCTTTAGTGCTGACAGTTTTGGTTTGGTATGTTAAGACATTTGTGGGTCACTCTTTCTTCTTCTTCTTCTAGGTTCGCTTTAAAAATTTAGCATCCAGACCATACTCTCTTCATGCCCATGGACTTTTCTATGAAAAGTCCTCTGAGGGAAAGACTTATGAAGATGACTCTCCTGAATGGTTTCAGGAAGACAATGCTGTCCAGCCCAACAGCAGTTATACGTATGTGTGGCATGCCACCGAGCGCTCTGGGCCAGAGAACGCTGGCTCTGCCTGTCGGGCTTGGGCCTACTACTCTGCAGTGAATGTGGTAGGTTTTGAATTCTGATCTCTACCCTCATCATAAAGCCACAGGTTGGTTTTTGGTTTTGTTTTTTTTTTTTTTTTTTTTTTTTTTGCATCTCCTACAGACCGGACCTTTGATCCTGGCACTTGGGAGGGAGCGACAGGCAGATCTCTGTGAGGCCAGCCTGGTCTGAAAAAAAAAAAAAGGCTCCCATGCTTTTCATGGGACATGTGACAGAGTTGCCATTCATGGTGTGGCTGCCATAACTAGAGATACTCCACACAGTTCATTAGATGTGGCACAGAAAAAGTGTTCATTCAATGGACATCCTGGGGATTACATAAGTCTGAGTGTGCTCCCAGAACACCATGCTAGTTTGCAGTTTAAAAGTAGTTTAGTCTTAAGTCAGGGCCTGAGAGATGGAGCTCAGCAGTTAAGAGCACTGCCTGCTTTTCCAAAGGTCCTAGTTCAATTCCCAGCAACCACATGGTTGCTCACAACCATCTGTAATGAGATCTGGTGCCCTCTTGAGGAAGAGACCAGACCTGGTCAATCATTTTCATCAACTTAGGAAATGTTTTCCCTGCTCCACTTAGGCCATGAAGAGATTCAGTTTGTTACTTAATGTGTAGCCTTTGCTAATAAAGAACAATGCGATAAGAAGTCAGTTCTGTTCTAAGTTAAACAAGGACACAGGGAGGAGGCTGTGGTGTTCCTGGAGGAATAATCCAGGCACATTCAGGAAGGTAGGAACAATTAGTTTCTCTGGGCAAACTAGCAACTGTGTCGATCAGGACAAGCTGTGCCCACCTCCTGTCTTCTTGGCTGGCCTTAGGCGCCCAGGAAAGGCAGAAAGAAATTGGCGTCCATTCAGACCCACTGGCCTCTCACTGTCTTCTTTGCCCTTGACATTTAGAGAGAGACCTTTGCACAGTGAGACTCCCAAACACAGATGACTGAGGACTCCGCCCAGGTTCACAGCCAGCAAAACCCAAAGCCCTCTCCAGCCCTCCACCTGGCAAAGGACAGCTTGGCTTCAGATTTGCCCTCAAAGACAGGGCAAATACCTGTCTTTGTTAGACCAAGGTTTCTAGACAGTTTGCTGGGATTCCCTTTGTCCCTGGACAAGTGGTTTAGGGGTTTAGGGGATTGGTTCGGAGTGTATTCAAGGATGGGCTGAACCATTTAGTGAGAACTTGCCTTTGGAAAAATTAGAAAGAGGCTGGAGATGGAAATCAGTTCCGTTCCCAAAACCAAAACAGAGAGTGGTAGAAGGAAGGGGGTGTGGGGAGGTTAGTAGACATGCGTTCAATGAATGTATTTCCACTTGCCGTTGGGATTGTTGTCAGGATTAAATAAGATACTACAGGCAAAGCCCTTAATAAAGCATGGACACTCAATAAATGGTGTTCATTTGGTTGCCGATTCTTAATGTTATTATTCAGATAAAGGATAACAACCCAGACTTATTCATTACTGATCTTCAAGTTTGGAGCCTCTTAGATAAGATTTCTTTCTGTGTAAGAACTGTAATTGTCAGAAGAGAAAATAAGAATATTCCAATGAATGACGAGCGTTTGCACTTTGCTTGTCTTGTCTTCCAGGAGAAAGACATCCACTCGGGTTTGATTGGCCCCCTTCTGATCTGCCGGAAAGGAACACTTCACAAGGAGAGCAATCTGCCTATGGACAGGAGGGAATTTGTCTTGCTCTTCATGGCCTTTGATGAAAAGAAGAGTTGGTACTATGAAAAGTCCAAAAGGTCATGGAGAACCGATTCTCCAGAAGTGAAAAATTCCCACAAGTTTTACGGTATTTTTCCTCAGACTTTGATCTGTTCTGATTAAACCTCACAAGGTCACAATGATTCCTGCCTTTAGGTCTTCACAAGATTAGACCTTAGGTGTTCTTGAGGAGCCAGCAGCATCATGAAGTCTGGCTCTTCAGCATCCTAGAGAGAGGATCTGGCCCATAGGAAACCCTGCTAAAGAGCACAGAGGGACTGCAGGACAGCATACACTGGCTGCTGCCAGACAACATAAAACTAACCAACAAGAAAATGGGCACTGTCCTCCAGATGGCAACATACAAAGGCATGGGCACGGTATCACTCTACTCTGTAAGATACTAATGACCCTGTTTCTTGCAGTCTAAAACAATTAGACTAAGAAACGGTCATCCCTGTGTCTCTTCCGAAATCAGAGTGGCTATAGCAGCTCCATCTCTTGGCCTCTGCAGGCAGCATCTATACCAGGTGGCATGAGAATTTAAGGAACTAGGAAGCTAAGCATCCAGGCAACAGGATACAGGCAAGACAGCCTGCCCTTAGGAGATGATACAGGGGAAAGTGTCTCTGTTCAGAAGTCCCTTGAGGAACGTGGCCTGTAAAATGGCAAATTAATTAAAAAACAGGCTTAGAAAAAGGCAGGATAAAGAGTTTAGTGCCCAGCCAAAACAACAACAGTTAGAAATCAGAAGAAAATAAAGACTCATGAGTGGTAAGACAGTTCAGAAAGTAAGAGGGCTTGCTTCCAAACCCAAGGGCCATCTCCCAAACCTGCATGGTGGAAGGAAAGAAGAGATTCCCACAAGGTGTCCTCTGACTTCTGCATTAATACCATAGGTGTGTGTGTGTGTGTGTGTGTGTGTGTATGCACGTGCACATGTGTATGTGTGTGCACACCCGAGCACATGTGCACACACATACACATGTGACACACAAGGTGAAAATAAATTTAAAAATAAATGAGAGACACCTCAGGCCTGTTTTGGAAATGAAGTTTGAAAATGAAGGCCATTGTTCTGAAGTTTCTGATTAGTGAGAACCTGTGCTTTTGGCAACGAGTCTGTCAGAATACTGAAGGAGGAGAAAGGTGCACAGGCCTGAAATCACAGCACTGAAGGCTGGGGTAGGAGGGCTGAACTACGCACTGAGACCTTGTCTGAAAGAATAAATAGCAAATAAATGAACAATGTACTTCAAGATGTTTTTATAGCATGCTATTAGATGGCACCTCTAGCCAGCCACCCAGGCTCGGTAGATTTATTTTTCCTCTATCGCTGATGTGCTCAAGGCACACTTCTTATATACATGGCCTTACTTCTAGACTTTCAATAATGTCACCTGTAAATACTTTGAGACACAAGTAGGAAAACAATGATTTACATTTGTTCTCAAAGCCCACCAACTAGTAGTAGAATCTGCTTTTTATAAAAACCTTTAAAGATTTTTTAAAATTCAAATATAAAAACTTCTGTTAGAGTACAGCTGATTCAGACAGCTGTTGGACAGATTGCAAACAGAGATTCCTTCTTCCCCTCCCTTCCCTCTCTTCCCCTTTCCTCTCCTCCCTTCCCTCTCTTCCCCTTTCCTCTCCTCCCTTCCCTCTCTTCCCCTTTTCTCTCCTCCCTTCCCTCTCTTCCCCTTTTCTCTCCTCCCTTCCCTCTCTTCCCCTTTCCTCTCCTCCCTTCCCTCTCTTCCCCTTTCCTCCTCTCCCCCTCCCTTCCCTTTCTTTTCCTCCCCTCCCCCTCCTTTCCCTCTCCTCCCCTCCCCTTCCCTGCCCTCCCCTGCTCTGTCCTTCTCTTCCCTTCCCTTCCTTTCCCTTCCGTTCCCTCTTCCATCTCTAGGCCTTTCAGCCCTGAAGTTGGCTTGAATAAGCAGGAAGTATCCCCTTTAGGAACCCCCTCAGCCTAATAAGACCCCACAGGCTGAAGAATAAGATGGGCTGTCTCTTGATTATGCCCTTTGCTTGAGGAGCATCCTCCAGAAAATGCTTTCTGGTTTCCCCCCAAAGCCAGCTATGTTTATTATAGCTTCAGTCCTAAACACATTCCTAATTCTTGGACATTTAGTGATCCCAATGTGTAGTATTTATCGGGGTATGTGACAAGCAGACCTCTGGAGTCCTCTAGGCTCTAGCTCAGTGCCTGGCTTTGGTAGCACATGCTCAGAATACAAATGAAATAGTGAATGAATGAACAAGTCCTCTTATCCATCCTCATCTACCGAACGTTCATTGAGCATCTCTGTTGAAAGTCCTCTCTCCCATATCCTAGTGCAGCCCCTGAACGATGCTGACGTAGTGACCACTCCCACTGCCCTTCACTCTTATGACATGAAATTCTTGAACAGAAACTGAAGCACGGGGGTAAGAGCTGATGCTCAAGTATGTAGGCAGGCATTCCTGTGCTCAAAATGATTCGACAAGTGCCAGAATAATTGCAACCCCTCCCCCTCCAAAAGTTTCTTTGGTTGGTTTCTGAAATCCTACAGCAATCCCTTGAAGTCTCCTTACCCCGCTTCTGTTCCAGTTCAGTGTTTGATAGCACCAAACTTTATCATTAATTTGTGTGTGTGTGTGTGTGTGTGCATGTGTGCGTGTGTATGTGCGTTATGTTTTTAAGGTGGTTAAGGTTATTAGGAGCTTTAAACACAGACACATACAGACACACACACACAGTGGTATGGTATTGTGCCCAAGGATAAGACAACAAGACCTGAGTTCAGGATCACCTTGAGCTAAAGAGAGAGAGTTCCAGGCTGGCCTGGGGTATATACCAAGACCTCACCTAAAACAAAAAATCCACCGATTTCACTAAAGGGAAGGTAGATACAGTGTGGCGATCTTAGACTCACACCTGAGAGGTGAGCTGAGGAGCCACACCTAGGAAAGATGGCACACTGCTACTGTTCACTTACTCTCACCCTAGGGGCTACCATTATCTGCCCCCTTTCATCTTTCTGCACCCAGGGGACATTTATACAATCAACGTGAAAGGCAAATGGGCAAAGCCTTAAGCAGGAGAGGGACAAAATCTGGGGGAGAAAGAGAAAAACCATTCCAAAATAGAGCCAACCCACACTTCTGCAGATGTTTGTGAAGTAGCCTAAAAATTCAGAAGTCCTCATTCAGCCTCGCATTGGTTCTATGATCCCGCCAAGGGCCCTTTCTACACCTGGGTAGGCCTAGGAATGCCCAGTAATGAGGAAGAAGGGTGGGGAGTGGGTGGCTTACCCGACTCCTCCTTGTGCATACAAGTTTTTGATTGATTACAGCTCTCTTTCCTTTCAGCCATTAATGGGATGATCTACAATCTGCCTGGCCTGATAATGTACGAGCAAGAGTGGGTGAGGCTCCACCTGCTGAACATGGGCGACTCCCAAGACATTCACGTGGTTCACTTTCATGGCCAGACCCTGCTGGATAATAGCACCAAACAGCACCAGTTAGGGGTCTGGCCCCTTCTACCTGGTAAAGATCTGGGCGATGGGAGAGGTCTCTGCTAAGAAACAGCAGGACAGGGCACCTGTAACTTCCTGTCTTTGTCTCCTTGTACGTCTACTGTTTAAGGGAAAAGTCTGCTCCAGATGCCAAGGCAAAGCTTTGTCTCTATGCTGTATACATCCAGCACAAATAGAGCTTGTTAGACTAGAAAAGGCAGAACCATCAGAAGCAGGGCATTGCAGGTTAGACAAGGAGAGGACAGAGCCATCAGAAGCAGGAAACAGCAGGCTATACCAGAGGACTGAACCATCAGATGCGGGGAGCTGCAGGTTAGACCAGGAGAGCACACCTGTGGACATCTGGATCTCCTGAGCTGTGTGTAGGCACCACATAAGACAGATTTGTGACCTTCGGGTCGTCACAGAGTTTCTCACGTCAATTTCTCCTGGACATCTGTGTTTCATGAGAATCAGATCTCAGTACATGACAAATAAGCCACCAAGGCACAAAGAAGAACCTGTTGCTGTTGGGAGGTTGATTAGGAACTCAAACTGTGCTCTTCGGGGGCTTTGAACTCCACTTCTGAAACCTTCAGCCTAACCTTTCTGAGTAAGCGATTCTGGGAATTGTAATCTTGAACAGATTCATGACTCTGGAGAACAAGATCCTTTGCATGATTGTAAAAGCTAACAGAGGCATTTGGAGTTGTTCATGTGAAAACACGATGATTAACGTAGATCTGTACAAACGGGAACCATCAGGGAAGATTTTTGCTGTGTCTCTGAGTTCTTTGAAGAGAAATCTGTTAGTGGGCGGGGTTATGAGGGCGAGATGCCACTGAAGAACCCAGGACTCAGGTTAAGATGCTCACGAACTGAGATTTTCACTCTCAGAGACTTTGGAAAGGTATAGACCATGGGGGAGAAGACCCGGGATTCTGGATCTCTTCCAAGCAGCTACTCTCCCCATACACACTGTCTGAAGAACTAACGAAAGGCAATCCCTTCACAGGGGTCGGGTGTGAATGCCATTGTGTGAATTAGTCTCATATACAGACAAGGAAGTCCAGACAGGTCTATTTTACTAAACAGAGGGAGAAATGTCTTCTGGTTTGGTTCTGAATGCCACTCCCTAAGAGTTAAAAAAAAAAAAAAAAAAAAAAAAAGCTCCTTTGCTCCTTTGTTTAACTTCAGAGACAGGATGGACCAGACCAAATTCACCCCATCTTTTCACCAAGTGTCAGCAAGCGAGTTCATTGCATAAACATGCAGCGTGGCCTGAGAAGTGAAGGTTGAGCATCCCACATGCATTTTCAAACCAAAATAACAGATGTCAGAAGGAACATGAGAGATGTGATTCACCGAGTTTGAGACGAATAACCATTAGCTGCTAATTTTTACTCACAATCTGGGACGTGGTCATAAATTGTAGTAAATAAAACTCAAATATAGGATCAAGTGGAAGAGAGTGGACATTATGTGTCAGTACAAAATAACATAAGTTTTAGGCTTTCTTTCCAATTTACTGAAACAATTTTTGTGCATTTTTATTTATGTATGTACACTTTCAAGAGAATTTGAAAGCGTAAGGAAAGGATATTTTTATTCCTTTCATATTGAAAAGGAAAACACATTCTATAGCTATAATGCCGAGTGATAAGTCATTCAAGGTCACTTTGAAACTTGAAACTGTGTATTCAAATTGTGTATGGGTCAGTTCCTAACAGTGAGTTTAGATGACTGAAAACTTTTTAAGGAGGGCTGGCAGGGTTTTTATGTCTGGGTGATTTATTTTTGGTAATTTCTCTTGTGTTGTTTATCTGCTTGATGGTTTGTTTGCTTGAAATAGTCTCAGGTATCCCCATGCAGCGACAGATGGCCTTGAACTCCTGATTCCCCTGCCTTCTCCTACTGAGCCCTTTGGGTAGAGGCATGCACTGGGGTACCCAGTTTACAGGGTTCTTGGTCAAGTTCAGAGCTTTGAGAATTCTAGGCAAGCATGTTTTCCTGACTGAGTAGCTCCTCTACCCTTAGTTTTGGTCATTTGTGGATGCTGGTGTCGTAGCTTTCACGGAATTAATTTTTATCTAGCCTCAAGAGAGAAGAATCACTTTTAAATTCTCCCCTGCAGCTTCTTGTGACTTAAGATTCTTAGAGCGCTCCACCACAATATTAATCTGATAATCACTAAGCTTATAATTTTCTCTTTCACTCCCTATTTTAGGTTCATTTAAAACTCTTGAAATGAAGGCCTCAAAGCCTGGCTGGTGGCTGCTGGACACAGAGATTGGAGAGAACCAGATAGCAGGCATGCAAACACCCTTTCTCATCATAGACAAAGGTATCGCCCATGTGATATTTGCTGATGAGGAGGTGCCAAATAATAGAATGCTTCCAATGTCCAGTTATCTGATTCTTGCAAATATCTGATTCTCATCATTCTGCTGTGACAAAGATGAAACAGCCTTTTTTCCCTGGCCATTAAAAACATAACAATTTATCTATAAAACCCTAACAAACGGGTCAAGTATTTCATGACTGGGGAAACAATAGAAAGCTTACTTCCTCAGAAATTTTGACCCATGGGAAAATATATGTAAGAAAATCTTTAAGCTCCTAGAGTAGAGCCGAAAGAGAAACCAGGATTCTGCAGGAACTCGTAGATTATCTATCCATTTGGTATCAAGTCTTGTCAATCACCTGTTGACGACCAAGCACTGCGTTCTCATCCAGGTACCCGCTAGCTGGTAGTTCCTTCCTTGTAACCCCCAGGCCAAGAGCGCCCTGCAGTCTTAGGAATAATAGCGCTTAATGTCAAGACTTTGTTTTAAAAATTGAGCCAGACAGAAGTCAGCTTAAAAATATTTTTAAGACTCCAGTTAATTTCTCATGTGGTATTGACTATTTTAATAAACACTAAAGTCTTGCTGAGTGCTTATCACTTTCTAATCAGGCATATTAATGTCATTATCGTGAAAGATAAGTGCAAACAATCTCTAGCCATGGAGGTTTTACTTATTATATATATTTTTTTCTAAAAAAATTATTGATTTTTGTGTTTTTTTTTTTCACAGAGTGTAAGATGCCAATGGGACTGAGCACGGGTGTCATATCTGATTCACAGATCAAGGCCTCAGGACATCTGAGTAAGTAGCAACATCGTAACCTGTGACTGGGGATGCCTACACTGTGCAGAATCCAGCTCATGAAGCCAGGCATGACAACCTGACCATGAGCCAGTTCCTCTCTCTGGGTTTGTGTCTGCCACAGCTTTGATGAAACAGCTCCATCTGTAGCTCTCCTCTGGTAGAGAAAGAAATATAGCAGGAGCTAAAATCATATTCATACACCCAGCATGTCTATTCCCCAAAGGGTCTTCTCTAGGAAATACCAAGAACCCAGCATTGTTAAGCAACCCACAGCTCTGCAGGGATTTGGCAGGAAGTAAATAGCTTAGTCTTAGGACATTGTGATCATTTCCCAAACTCCATTTATCTTGCCTAGATTGGCCCTCACACATAAGCTCCAGCCAGATTCACTGGGTTTTATTGTTCAAGAAAGACAGTTCCAATACTTAAGCTAGCCATTCATCCAGTCAAGAAATGTTATGAACAAAACGTCTCTTAGATTTATTCATTCTGCCTCGAATCCCTTTCTGAGATCTAGAGGCCACAATGAAGAACATCATGAGATCCCACGGATTCCTCCCAAATCTTCTTGTTCAGTAGGTATATTCAGCAGTAGCCATATCAACATGGCTGAGAAAACACAAACATGACCTATGCACAAGGAAGGGTGGCTGACGCCTTTGAGCTGACTAAACATGGCCGAAAGCCAAGGTTTCATCACTCAGGACTGGCTAGGCAGCCTATGCCCATGCCACCTGCCTGGTCTCCTACCTACAGCACAGATCCTCCGAGGATCTGCTTCTCTGCTGGACCAAACTTACTTGAGAAACTGGTCATTTTCTATTAAAAAAAAAAAAAAAGGAACAACACTTCAAGCTAGACATGGTAGTACCTGGCTGAGGCAGGAAGACTGTGAGCTTGAGTCTAGCCTAGGCTATATAACAAGACCTTCCCTCAAAAAACAAATAAATTCACAATTCCTTTTCCTTCTGTTTATGAATTTAGGTTATTGGGAGCCCAAACTAGCACGATTGAACAATGGTGGTTCATATAATGCTTGGAGTTTAGAGAAATCTGCTTTAGACTTTGCCTTTAAGTCTTGGATCCAGGTATGGCTTACTAACCTGATGGTATTGACCGCTATTGAGACAAAAATGGCAGCAAGTCAGTAGGTTCTTACAGTGGCGCTAAAGGAAAAAGCAGTAAGGGGTGGCAGGTACTGTTCTCAGCTCTTCACTTCCTCCTATCAGCTTGGGGAGGTGGGTCTACTGATTTTCAGCCTAAGAAAGAAAAACTCAGACGAAGGTGACAACCACTTTCCCAAAGTAAAGCTCTCCCAGCCAGCGCCTCGGCTGACACTCAAGTCCAGGTGTGCTTTGCTCGACTGTGGGCCGTACCCTGGCCTCACCATTTTACTGAGCTCACTAAGACCTTGGGCATTGTCCAATGCTAAAGAAAGCTGATGACAGCATGAGCTATGGCGAGCTGTGACTCACTAACGAGGATGTTGCTGTTTACCGACTTGTCTGTACTGCAGGTGGACATGCAGAAGGAAGTTGTAGTCACAGGGGTACAAACCCAGGGTGCGAAACACTACCTAAAGTCTTGCTTTATCACTGAATTCCACGTGGCATACAGCTCCGACCAAACCAACTGGCAGATCTTCAGAGGGAACAGCACAAAGAACATCATGGTTTGTGCTCATGTTTTCTGGCTAAATCTTAAGACTCACTCTGGGGCTTCTGTAGCAGTGTCCTTTACCAGTACATCAGGACGATTGAAATGTGAATGGTTTTCTAAGGGTCCTAGGAAGTAAAAAACGCCAATATAAGCCTGTATATTACAAATTAAAAGGACACAAGGAGCTACTAAAACTTCAAACCTCCCAAGACTTGAGAGGAAAAACTCATTTAAGCAAACACCCTACAAACTAGATTATCAGGTGGCAGGAACAGTGTCTACCACTGAGCAACACAGAGCCTATCTAGAAACTGCCCTCCAAGAGTTCTGATTTCACGGTCGTATTTTACTTTGTTCCTTATCTAACATGCCTTAATTTACAGTGAGCATAATTACCCAGAGATGCTCTGAAGCCGCGTGATTCTCAAGCTGCTCTTGGGGACATGCCTGAGGATCAGTGTCCTCCTGTCTGGTCCTCCATGAGCCGAGCCAAGATTCCTAGATCAGCCCCTTGTCCCGAGCCTCCTCCGCAGACAAAAATATCCAAATGTAGAGAGCCTGTCGGCTGTCATTAGACCAACCACTTTTAATCTGTTTCTGTTGGTATTTTATATAAACCATTAACCATAGGCTACTTTTCCTTTGCTGTCTCAGCTATTTCTAATAGGGACACATTTATAAAGCAGTTTAGATTAAGATCACTAAAAATCTTCAATTATGATGCTAAAAAAATCAGTAGTGGGAGAGAAAACACAGACAGCAGTTGACCATCATACCTTAAGGATATTCAGGCCCGTATTTATGAGGCACTTTGGTGTGCAGTTTGATTGTTTTCTGCTGTTTCTAACTTTAATACAGCAGTGGGTGACTTGTGAAATAAATCAAAGAGTATTCCCTTCAGTGCTTGGGATGAGATTTCTAAAATCGTTGCTAATTCCTTCATTTGGCAGACATCACCCACAAACCCACCTGGACCTGAAAATTCCTCTGTGGGAAATGTAAAATTTTTAAATTCAATTTCTTTCTTTAGTCATTTGAAGGCTATTTGAGCTGTCTATTTTATAGGGTAAGTTGTGATTCTTTCTAAGGCTCTTAAAACATGAACTGGCCCCTTTCCTCTGCATTGTGGGTCACATGTGTAGAATCTGTAGTACCAGTTGTCCCCAGATGTCCTCCCAACATCTGTAGGGACTGTAGCGATATGGCCTACTTCATCTCTGACATCAAAATTTCTCTCTTCTTTTACTTTGGGGTCAGCCCTGTTGAGGTTCTGTCAATTTGTTTTTAATCTTCTCCAAGCACCAGTTCCTTTATCAATTTCCTTCTATTGTTTGTGTTCAATCTTGCTGATGCCTACTCTTGCCTTGTTTTTGCTGGGCATTTTCTGGTGCTTCTCTGTCAGAGACAGGGAGGTGGGGCATAGACTGGTGACTTCCAGGTAGGGGTCAGAGTCCAAGTTCTCACTGGGCGCCTTAGGAGTCATTATTTCTCTTGACTGCTAGGTAGGTGAAGAGTTCCACACTGGCTTCTCTTGACACTGCTGAGGGCGCCCTACTAGGATTTGCAGAGACGGCATGCTGGGCTCCTACTTTGCCCTTCTCTAATACCCTACGATGCTTCTAGTACCTCTTCAGTCCCAGAAATCTAGAAGTCTAACCCTTCAGTCCAGCTGCTACTCCTATGCTTGGGTTAAGTCTGGGTTTGTTTGTTTTCCTGTGGTAGCTGGCTGGTACTCAATTGCTATCTAGTGAGACTGTTGCCGTCTTCATCTCTGAGAAGCCCGGGACGTGTGACGGAAACAGAAAGCCTGGGCCCCAGGACCGTGCTATTCCTTATATCCCCGAGAGGCTTAGCTGGTCTGTTCTGCTTCTTCATACCAGCTTCTCATCTTCTTTTGCTTCTTTTAGGCGTAGTCCAGGGTTTCTGGCTCTACACAGCAGAGGGAATAGGAGAAAGTGCATCGGCACCAGCTTCCTCGAAGTAGAAATATCCACAATCAGTTTTTCAAACCCAATTGAATTGATTCAGTTCCCATGAAAGAATCTTACAAAACTTGTTAGATGAATTTGTTAAAAAGACAATGTCTTAGGAATTGTTATTAATGTTTTCCTCTTTTCCTCTAGGATTTTGCTGGCAACTCAGATGCCTCTACAATAAAAGAGAATCGGTTTGACCCACCTATCGTGGCTAGATACATTAGGATACATCCAACAAAGTCCTATAATAGACCCACCCTTCGGTTAGAGCTACAAGGCTGTGAGCTGAATGGTAAGGGACAAGAAGCACGACCTCCTCATGGCCACCCCAAAACTCAAGATTTGAGCAGTGTGGGAGACTAGAATTCTTAGATACTCCTCAACCACTCAGGCTCCAGATTTTTATTTATTTATTTATTTATTTGCAAAACATCAGTTCCAAATAGGGATATTCTCAGTACTATCTAAACAGAGACTGAGTCTGGTTCCGGTAGTCAGGAGGTAGGCAGCACCTCACTAGATGATGTCTAGATGATATGAGCATCACCATGGCCCCACCATGGCATCATCAATGGTCTAGGTTGGGACTGTCACCATCAGCCCATTTTCAGTGAGAGCCTCTTGACTGAAGGAGCCATGACTCTGGCATATTTTGGGGGTTCAGTGAGTGTTCTTTAATCTGACCCTGGTTTCCTATTTCTGAAACCACGAGTGTGTTCTGTAATCTGTTTTGGACCCGGTATAAGTCCTCAAGTCTTTTCAAGCCTCTATTTTTTTCAGGGAATGAAATTTGGATTAGGATGTAACAAAATCTGGGTCATAAGAAACAGTCATAATAAAGGTCTACTGACTGTTCTCTGATTTTGAAGCAAGGTCTTCCAGTATTTTTAACTTTCAGGCACATACAGAAAATACTATCATCGTCCAGGCATTCTGAGTTAAAAGAAATTGGCCCAAGGCTTGGCTGACCCAGGCCTCAGCTGACTGCTAAAAAATTGAGTGTCATGCTCTTGTTAACTACATGATCTTCCCCTGACTCATCATTAAGAAAGTACCTGAATTTTGGAACCAGTTTCTTTCCAAAGTAGATAATGCTGACCTTGACATTTGTGAGAGATATGGATGTGGACAATTGCCAGTACCTAATTACTAGTAGTGTATAAAACTGCCCACACAAAATGCAAATTTTGTGTAGGCAGGATTACTCCATGAAACAGTTCTACAAGTCATGGGAGTTTTGTTTCCATAATTATGGTGTGAATGGTAGCTTTGCTCAGTCATGTACTCTCGCTAACCTAGAATGTGAAGTTCTGTTCTATTAATTTATATTCATTTTTGCTGGGCAGTGGTGGCACACGCCTTTAATCCAATGTGGGAGGCAGAGGCAGGTGAGTCTCTGTGAGTTTGAGGCCAGCCTGCTCTACAAAAGCTAGTTCCAGGATAGGCTCCAAAGCTACAGAGAAACCCTGTCTTGAAAAACTAAAAAAAAAAAAAATCATTTTCTATATAATAAGCATTGCTTTTTTTCTCCATTTTTTTGGAACTTACATAGTGGGCTCTACATATGTAGATGGAAGTTTCTGTCCCATCTGGTCCCATAGCTGTTCAGCCCCAAAGAAACACACAGAGGCTTGTATTAATTATAAACTGTTTGGCCTATTGCTCAGGCTTATTACTAACTAGCTCTTACAACTTAAATTAACCCATAATTCTTTTCTATGCTTAACCACATGGTTTGGTACCTTTTCTCAGTGAGACATTCTCATCTTGCTTCCTCTGCATCTGGATTGTGACTGTGTCTCCGCCTTTCCTCTTCCCAGAATACTCCTAGTCTGATCGCCCGACCTATACTTCCTGCCTGGCTACTGCCAGTCAACATTTTATTAAACCAATATGAATGACAAATCTTTACAATGGACAAGAACATTACCACACAGCACACAGGTTCCTCTTAGGATTTTTTTTCCCACATATGAAAAGCAAGCTATAGCTTCAAAATAAAAGTCTGTATCTTTCAAATAAAAAACAAAGTAGCACTAAGAAAATATTTAGCTAGCCTTATTCACTAGCTAGTTTCCTAAATCAATAGGTCAGTTCTGCTGCCTAGAATGCTCAAATTATACCTTGGCAAAATTCTAAAGAGTATATGTGTTCAAAATTTTGAAAAGGAAAACACAAACAGTGACTCCCAAAGCTTCACTACATCTTCTCATCAGCTTCTGTTAAAAAAAACTGTGTGTGTGTGTGTGTGTGTGTGTGTGTGTGTACAGCTATGCCTCACTCAACTGTAGAAATCAGTTCTTTGAAATGCATTTTAGGTTATTTTGCTTACCATGCAAACACCATAAATTGTGTTTACACAAACCTAGACAGCACAGTACAGTCACTCAGTATGGTCTCTTGACACAATCAGGAAACATAGTGAATGAGCATAGCATGGCGCTGCTTCACAATAAGCTACTTTATTTAAGTAGAAAGAGTGCATTCAAAAATAATGATTAGAAAGTAAAATAAATACACAAAGCTGTTACATTGTAGTCTACTATGGAATATTATGAATTCTACATAATTCTATGCACTGCATATAAATCTACTTAGGGCACCATCACAAACACAGAGGTTATACATTACTATGACAGCTAGGATGTTACAAGGCATCAGCTTCACATTATTTGTGTGGTCTGCTATTAACTGAAATGTCATTATTATGGGACACATAAATTTTTCAGAACTACCATCTACCTCAAAGACTGACAGCTTCATGTCTGTCTGAGGAAGGGAGTACCCATACTCAGGATATAGTGTTTGATGATAACTGGCATTAAATTCAGTTTCCTGTTCTTTTGACTGTCTTGTGTTGGGCAAGCTGCTATGTCTTGCTGTCCTCTATACTCTTCTGTCAAATGGGTGTGAGTACGAGCGTTGAATAGTATATTTATAGTGGTACTTGCACTTGAATTGAACAATTGTTCTTTGTTTTGATTGTTTTGCTGTGTCCCTGGGAGTGGTGTTTCTTGCCTCCTCTGTTGCAAATGCAATGCAGGGACTATTAGTGCTGTGTAATTAATCACATTACTTTCCACTTGGCAGGATGTTCCACACCACTGGGCCTGGAAGATGGAAGGATAGAAAACAAGCAAATCACTGCATCCTCATTTAAAAAGTCCTGGTGGGGAGACTACTGGGAGCCCTCCCGTGCCCGCCTGAATGCCCAGGGCCGTGTGAATGCCTGGCAAGCCAAGGTGACAACAACCATACAAATGGTGTTCTCTTGCCTTCCAGAAACAAACAATGGCCCCTACCACAGGGGACATAGTTGGGGGGAGGTGCGTGACTGGGGAGCAGGAGTGTTAGATTCTGAAGTCCCCGATCTGAGAGGCTAGGATGACTTGTAAAATCCACAGTCGCAGCTCTAGCCATGGCTCAGAAGAAGTCACACATCTTCACTGTGGTTCTTGGTCGAGCTGGGATTTAAAACGGGAAGGAACAGCAGTGTGCAAAGAGATAGTAAATAATTTAAGTTCGCAGATAATTTGGGAATGTACTCTTTTCATTTCAAGTAAAATTCTTGTATGTATTTATCCAGCAGCTACTTGTCAAACACTGTGTACCTTGTCTTGTTATAAACACCAGGGGTAAAAGACTAACTAAGCTCTCACACTAGAACAGCAAGGGACATAAAAAAGAAAAAGCAATGATTATTGTAGATGATATGCAATACGTCAGTAGAAATTAAATTTTTTAGATTAGTGTACAAAGGAATAGGTTTTATTGTGACAATGTCATACATATGTTTGACATTGAACATACTTTGTTCTTAATCAGTTCCCTTTAATATTGCCATCCTTTTATGTATAGTCTATTCCTCTCTCTTTAGTCCCTGTCCCCCATCATGATCCACAGCAATAAACAAGAAATCACAGTGAAGTTCTCTCAAAGACAGTGGCTCCTAAGGGAGCAAATGGAAAAGCCCCGTGTGTCTCTAAACATCCTGATCGTAACAAACAGACAGGCTCTAACAGCATACTCATTCCAGGGTTTTGTTTTTGTTTTTTAAATCATTTTCATAGGCAAATAACAACAAGCAGTGGCTGCAGATCGATCTGCTCAAGATCAAGAAGATAACTGCCATTGTAACGCAGGGCTGTAAGTCTCTGTCCTCTGAGATGTACGTGAAGAGCTACAGCATCCAGTACAGTGACCAGGGCATGGAATGGAAGCCTTACAGGCAGAAATCCTCCATGGTGGACAAGGTACGGGTGCCATCTGGCAAAGCAAAAGCTGCTGGAGAACCGTCTCCTGATGAGACAAACAAGGGCTTCTTGATTTGACAATGCTGGTTATGTACCGCTCCCCCAGTCTTCTCAACCCCCGTTCTCCAGGTGGCTGGTCTTAGCAGAGGGACCATTTCCATCACTTTTCTGACTTCGCCACCTGTGAACTAAAATGGGGAGGACAAAATGCCAGGGGTGCAGTGTGGCTTTTGTTCTCTCTGACTGAGAAAGACAATGAACCTATCCAGAAAACCTTTGCAATAATAATAATAAAACACAGTTGCTGCAGTTAGAGTTGCTGCTTGTAGCGAATCAGATGCCCAGGACTGCAAGCCTCTGTATGTCACATTGCTACTGAACAGAAAACATTTGGGAAAACCACTCTTCAGGTGAAACTAACTGCTCTATTACATTCCTAAGTCCCTCTACCTTCTACCAGGTGGTTTAATGATGCTGTCCGAAGTAAAGCCAAGGAAGTCTGCCTAGTGTTCCAGGAATGGAAACTGGGCTAAAACTAGTAGGAAAAGCAACCCAGGGAGGTTTAATTTGATTTAATTCTAATTAAATGCTTAGCACTGAATAAATTGCTGCCCCTTTCTTATTTGTAAACCCCCGGCAGTGTGTGTTATCTTGTTACAGCAGGCTGCCCTCACATCAGGGTAAACCCCGCTACCTTAAAGAAATAATGACTTCTCACTGCTGCTGTGTGGGTAAATCTCAGGGAACTTCCTGAGGGGGAGAACAGAAACAAACATAAACACTCGAGGAGGAGGAAAAGCACACACCAAAAAAGAGAAATGAAAATAAAAACCTCAGGGTCACATTTATTTTAAATGTCAGTGACAACAAGTTATTCATTGGCATCCACTACACAACCCTGACGAGGCACTCGCCGTGTGCTTACACACATTTTCAAATGTGTGCAACTTGTATGATGCAAACTTGATTGTTCTCGCCCTGATGATGAGACAGTGAGTGCAGAGGGATGTAATGACGTCTTCAAACTCACATGGCAACAAAGACGCTAAAGAAGAAGTTTATAAACACTCATGTCAGGTTTATTTATTTTTTCCTAGTCTGACACATCATTAAGAAATGATTCCAGCAATCGGGAGGCAGTGGCAAGCGAATCTCTGTGAGTTCAAGGCCAGCCTGGTCTATAGAGCTTGTTCCAGGACAGCCAGGACTAGACAGAGAAACTCTGTCTCAAAAACAAACAAACAAACAAACAAACAAGAACATCTTTAAGGGGACATCTATCTGTCTTCTGATTTAGTAACTTACTGATAATAGCAAAAAAATATATAATAATTGACTTTGGTATAAAAGGATGTTAAAAAATGAGAATGAAACATTAATGCCCATGATGTAAATGTTGACAATTTTTATCATGTTTTTCTTTCAGATTTTCGAAGGAAATAGTAATACCAAAGGACAAATGAAGAACTTCTTTAACCCACCCATCATTTCCAGATTTATCCGCATCATTCCTAAATCCTGGAACCAAAGTATTGCACTTCGCCTGGAACTCTTTGGCTGTGACGTTTACTAGAATTGAAAACCAAGAAAGAAAAGGAAAGGATAAAGACTGAAGAAACTTCTTAAGGCCTAAGCCATTTAGAGCAAATATAAAATAGCCAATATATTACGACTATTTTGAATGTTAAGAGATTTCTGCTATTTTTTCTAATAGAGAATAAAGTTTATATAAGAAGCTTTTACAATGTTAATTCATCGCTGCCATTAAGCGAGGTGGCGGCTATTATTTTCTTCACTAATTTTAATATAGATGGGAAAATAGTAAGTTCCAGCAAGAAAATGACTGCCTTTTACTCTGATTAAAGATGTTATGGAATGTTAGATAGTGGAATGATATGGTTCACTCTAGCTCTTTCCAATCCTGTAGACATTAATAAAAGAGATATTACTTTCAGAAACTGTTCGTAGACCTAGAAAACTTGTCTTCCTATACTTCCCCTTTAAAATCAAACTATAATTTGTAAAGAAGAGAGACTAAAATAGCTTAGTTTTTTGATAATAGAGAAAAGAATCTTGCGGTAATGAAGGGAGAACTTAAAATGCCCTGCGTTGAGATGGCCTAGCGGGCCAACAGAGGTGCTTGCTGCCAAAACCTGATGATCTGAGTTCAAGTCCGAAAACCCACAGGAAAAGAAGCAATGGATTCTGAAAAGCTGTCCTTGATTTCACCATGCAGCTGTGGCACATGTGTGTGCCCATGCCCACATTCAAGCTCTAACAGTAAATAAAAGATTTTACAAGTCCATCTTTCGATGTCACCGTGAGTTTTCTGATTCCTCATGAGCAAAGAAGCAATTGAGCATGTTTCTCACACTCCAGTTGGACTTGCAAATCTGTCTTGGCCTTGTTTGGGGGAGGCTGCACCTCTTGACGTCCAAGGGTACATCAAGACATTAAATACAACTCAAATATTTTTGGGAGAGCTGGTCATATGCCTTGGCTTGATCGAAAATCTGGCACCGTGAAACATACTGTTTCAAAACTTGGGTCACCTAAGGGAAAGAAAGCACTTACCTGTAAAGAGGAACACGGGGACAGTTGGCACACGCTTGGCAGTTCCTGTTAGAGCTGCTCCGGGCCAAACTGCCAAGTGGGTTTGGGGTTCTGTCTGTGCCTTCTTTCTCGCCTCCCTGCACTCGGCAGCTCCTGTTAGCATGCTTTTCTCTGAAACGTGAAATCTGACAGTGCTGTTCTGCTCGCCCATCTGTAGAGCCTCTCAACATCTGTAAAGTCACATGGGATGGATACTCCATACAGTCAGGAGAGTCATTCAAACAGACAGTCAAAACTCTCTGGTTTTGTGAAATAAACTACCCCAAAGCTTAAGCAAGAATTGCACAAAATATGCATGTGGTAGAGGTAAGATAGATGGCTAATTTTATGGTGTGTACATATAGTCAAGACATCATTCTATACCACAAATACAATTTTTCTAGATTAAAAAATGAATGACATAAACAACACCAAATGTCTTCCCTTTGAGGGTGCTGTGGGTTCCCTGGGCTCAGTTGGACAGTTTCGTTGCTGGCTTCCTTCGGTGTCCCTTTGTAGTTAGAGTAAAAGCCTGGCCTCAACTGGGTTTCGAAGGGGATTTACATGAGTGCAGAAACTAAGACAGCAGGGTGGGAGTGGGGGCAGGGGAGCGTCCTTTCTTTTGATGTGTCTCAGCTCCAATCCCCCTACTTGGCTTCTGTGTGTGGTCTTCCACTCAGTGTCCCCAGTGAGCAGCTGATCTTTTTATGTGATGGTTCAGGCATCTCTCAAATGCTAGGAAGATGAGATCCTCATTCTTTTTAAAGTCCAGGCTCAGAGCGGAGGCATAGCCTCACTTCTGCCGCATTCCATCCGGTGAAGCAAGGGAGCCCAGTATCAGAGTAGGAGGAACTCTACGGGCTGTGCATACCAGAGGGCACTGCTCACTGAGGGTTCCTTTAGAAACCACCAGTTACCTATTTCTTCTTCTGGCGAGCCTTGCAGATATGTGTGAGAGCTTCCAACGTCCATTGAAGTATTTATATTTCTCTTGTCACTTTCCTTTCTTGATTCCTGATTCCTGTCACTATCCTACCAAAATTTCTCCAAGATTTTCATTTTGTTAACAACAGCTGAGAATATAAAGTTTAAAAAAAAAATCTTTTTTACAAGTCTGGCCTTGTGAATACGCTACTGATCCATCAACAAAAAGGCCCTGTGTTCAGGGATCTGGACTGAGGTTTCTGCTCAGCTGTCATCCTCCTGACACATTTTATTCTAAGATAAATAAAAAATGTAACATTTTCATTTTTTAAGAAGCCCCCATAAATTATAAAGCTAGTCCTAGGTATCTCTACTATAGAATTAGATGGTCTCAGCTCTGTGTCTCTCTGTCTCTCTCTGTCTCTGTCTGTCTGTCTCTCTCTCTCTCTCTCCAGGGTCTCACAATATAGTCCTGGTTGGCTTGGAACTTTCTAGACCAGGGTGGCCATGAACTCACAGAGATCCACCTGTACCTGCTGGGGTTAAAGCCTTGTGCCCCCATACCAGGCTAGAATTTCTCTTGATCTGAAATGTGATTGGGGTAATAAATATTATGCAGTACCGTAAATAGGGGGATAAAAGACAATATAGTGAAACAGGTAGCCTGATTATCTTGTCAATGAGATAAATAAGACCCCAAAGGAAAAGTAATTGCTCAAAACTCTTACTTGTTAGTGTTAGAGCTAAACCCAATCACAACAAAAACGGAAGTTATAGTGTGTATAAACCACACCCTTAGATAGGAAGATATGAGTGTTAATTAATGACACATAATTGATCTGAAAAAAATGTTTCAGTACCAATAAAATGTTAGGGCTATAAGTGACTTTGAAGTAAAATACAGTTCCACTTTTTGTCCCTCGCTTTGAAGTGCTTTAGCTGAAATTACAGCCTCGGTACCTGGTCTGTCCTCCTCTGACACAACACAAGCGCTGTTTGTTATCTCATACCTGGTTGCTATGGAAAGAAGTGACTCACAGAGGAATTATAATTTGCAAAGAGAAACCAACAATTAAAATCCCAGTTGTTATTAGTCACTCAAATTGAAAGTTGGAGAAGAACAGTTGGGTTCCTCACAAATATGAGAAGTCCTCAGCAAACGTAGGATCACTTCTTCAGAGGGATTTCAAGTACCAAAAAACATCATGCCACTTTTTATAACAAAATTGAACAAGTATCATCTTTTGTGATGAGGACCAGTAGAACAATTCAAGGGGAAATGTTTGACATATGTGAAAAAAAAATGATTGATACATGGAACAATCACAGGGTACGGTTGGACGGTTGCAAGACTTTAAAGTGTTTATGTAAAGGCTTGATCTCTTGTCCCTATTCAAACCACCCTCAAATCTATCTGCACTTTTCTATTTTTATGGTAAAGGAAAGTTTCTCCATGTCTTAGGAATGGTACACAGCAAGTTCAGACTCTTGTTTATTTTTTATTGGCATGGAATTTGGTGACAGTCTCTGGTGTGCCTGTTTTCAACCCCTTGCCTAAGCTCTCCCATTGTTGGGGCCCTGTCACCACTGCTCCCCAGCCTTTGCTCATGTGCATGCTTGACAGAGACTTGTGATCTCACTCTGCCTCATCTAGTTTTCTATTTGCAGACTAAGTTGGCCTCAAACCCGCCTGTGTCGAGCACTCGTTGCTTTCAGCCGCTGCCCTGTTTTCTGCCTTCCTTTCCTCAGCAGTTGGCATTCAACTGTACAAATAGAGTTCCAGGATTTCCACAAAAGGTTAAACCTTAATTCCCGAGGCTAAACGAATGACTGACTGGATGTCATGCCTGAACTTCCTTGGTAGATTTCACTGACCAGATTATGTTTCTCTCAGGAATAGATGCAGTTAATGTTTGTTTATATACCAAACGCTTAGGCCTTCTTATGAGATTCGGAAAAAATTATGCACATAGAAAATTAAGAATTTTAAATGTACTTGTCTTAGTGCTCTTTTGCCGTGAAGTGGTCATGACCAAGGCAACTCTTATAAAAAAGAAAGCATTTACTTGGGGCTTGCTAACATCAGGGTTTAGTCCATTATTGTCATACGGGAAGTATGGCAGCATGAAGGCTGGCATTGTGCTGGAGAAGCAGCTGAGAGCTCCACATTGGATGGTAAGCAACAGGAAGAGAGAGACACTGGGCCTGACTTGAGCATTTGAAACATCATGAGGGCCCACCCACATGATGCACTTATTCTAGTAAAGCCACACCCACTAGTACCACTCTCTGGTGACCAACCATTCTATGAGCCTATGGGGACCATTCCTATTCAAACCACTACAGGAATTAAGTAAAAAGTTTCTTTCAAGAAAAATTAGAGCCAGGCAGTGGAAAAACACGCCTTTAATCCCAGCACTCAGGAGGCAGAGGCAGCTGGTATCTTTATGAGTTTGAGGCCAGCCTGGTCTACAAAGCAAGTTCCAGCCAGGACCATTACACAGAGAAACCCTTTCAAAAAAAAAAAAAAAAGAAAGAAAGAAAAAGGAAAGGAAAGAGAGAGAGAGATAGAAGGAAAAAAAGGAAAAATTGATTGTTAAGAAAGGAAATAAACCAGGTGGTAGAGGTGCAAGCCCTTAATCCCAGCACTTGGAAGGCCGAGGCAGGAAGATATCAGAGTTTGAGGCCAGTCCGGTCTACAGAGGAAGTTACAGGAAGGACAGTCAGGGCTACAACCGAGGACCCTGTCTTTAAAAACCAGAGAGAGAGAAGTTTAACCAAAGATAAACCAGAAAAAGATATCCAGCACAATGAACTGTTATGCTTTTTTTTTTTTTTTTGCAATACACTGAATAGACTAGAACATTCTACCATTGGTGGTGATAATATGATCTGACATTTCTGAGATTAGAAAGAATGCTCCCTATCCTCCGGCTGCTAACATCCTATGTTAGAAAGAAACTGGGAGGCCAACACTCTCAAGCCAATACTCCACAGGATAGTTTGGGGCTGTAACTCAGTGAAGTCACGCCTAGCCAGTATATGTGAGTTTCTCGACTCAGTCCCCAGAACGATAATAACAATGATTAGGATGATGATAACACATTTTATGAATGAATGCATGATTATGTTTGTTTCTTTTCTTGTCCCCAGAAGATTTAAGTTTATTGAACTGAGAAGAAGGGTGAATGGGCAAAATTCTAGCCATGAGATTGTGATGACCTGAGGTTGGGCCCCTAGTATCTGTGCAAAAGCCAGGTAACATGTGTGCTGGGTAGGGAGAGGTGTCTAGTCACAGTGGTGAGCTCCAGGTCCAATGAGAGACCCTGTCTCTAAAAATGAGGCATAGAATGATAGAGGAACACATGCACAGACACAGAAATAAGTGTACCCCTGTATACGAACACACACACTGGTGAGTGTGCTCCATACATATGCACACATAGGCACGTGTACCCCCATACAAGGGCATACACACATAGACAAGTATACCCCATACATGTGCACACACAGGTGAGTCTACCCCATACATGTCCACACACAGGTGAGTGTACTCCATACATGTACACACACAGGTGAGTGTACCCCATACGTGTGCACACAGGTGAGTGTACCCCCATATGTGTGCACACACAGGTGAGTGTACCCCCATATGTGTGCACACACAGGTGAGTGTACCCCCATATGTGTGCACACACAGGTGAGTGTACCCCATACGTGTCCACACACAGGTGAGTATACCCCATACGTGTCCACACACAGGTGAGTGTACCCCCATATTTGTGCACA